GTTTCTCAAAGGGAATTTGAAGTGGATTTTGAAGAATAGGTATTCACTGTGGAAAAATTGCATTCAGTCAGTCCATCAGTCTGTCAGTCAACAAACGCTCTCTGTTGCCCACTGAAGTGGTCTTTGGGGAAGGAGTTTTGTGAAGGAGTTCTTCAGAGGGATCAAGGACATCAAGACCTCTCTGGTGGCCTCCCCTCCACTAGCTTCTCATCTGTCCACCCAACCACCTCTGGTACCTGAGAGTAACAGGCAGGAAGGCCAGAGGTCACCAAGAGGCAGGAGGAAATAAACTGCAAGTGGCAGACATTTTTTTCCTTCTCTACACAAAATTAAAAGAGGTTTCTTTTAATTATGTGTTGATAACACCTGGTTCTGCCTTGACCTAACCAATGCATTTTTCTTACAGAGATGTTTTTCTTAAGCTATGTTAATGAAACTATGTATTTGTTTTGGAATCTGCCTTTCTTTATCTGCCTAAGACTAGCTCTTTTAACTCTTCTCAAATCTTGGGCTGATAATGGCTCAACAAGCCAGTATTCCTGTCAATTGTTTTATGGCGGGGGCGGAGGGAGGGGGGAGGATGACATGTCTCCTGCCATCCTATCTTGAAAATGCATATTGTGGGAGGGGGTTCCTGGTGAAACTCCCTCAGCCTTGAGGTGCCTCTCTTATCTGATCAATACTTTCCTAACAGACATAAAACACCTTGCTAAAAGCTATCAAGGGCGCACTCTTTCTGTCCACTTCTGATGTCTATGTCAGAAGTTTTCCCTATTTCTATTATACTTTAATAAAACTTGGCTACACAAAAAGCTTCAAGTAGTCAAGCCTCATCTCTGACCCCAGATGGAAATCCTCTCCTCTGGAGGTCACGAAACCTGGTGTAATACACAGCTCGCAGCAACCTTTCACACAGGGAACCTCTCCTCCTCTGGATTCCGGCCAAATTCCCAGGGAAGATACTGACTGACTGAGTTTGAGTCATATCTCCATCTTGAACCAATCACAGTGGCAGGATGCAAGATTCTAGGTCACATGTCCATCCCAGCCTGGACTACAGTAGAACTTTAAGGCAGAACTAGCCAGAGACAGAAAGTTGGCTATTTTAGCGTATGAGTTTACAATTACCTGGGTGTATGCAAGCTGCAACTGAAGCCCATTTAGTGTAGGGTTGTCAGATAAAATACGTGACCCCCAGTTAAACTGGAATCCCAGATAAATGAAAGTAAAAAGTGAAAGTCACGTCCAACTCTTTGGGACCCCATGGACCATACAGTCCATGGAATTCTCTAAGCCAGAATACTGGAGTGGGTAGCCTTTCTCTTCTCTAGGGTATCTTCCCAATCCAGGGATGAAACCCAGGTCTCCCACACTGCAGGTGGATTCTTTACCAGCTGAGCCACAAGGGAAGCCCAAGCATACTGGAGTGGGTGACCTATCTCTTCTCCAGCGGATCTTCCCGACCCAGGAATCAAACTGGGGTCTCCTGCATTGCAGGCAGACTCTTTATCAACTGAGTTATCGGGGAATCGGATAATTAATAGAGAGATTTTTGCATACTTACATCCCAATTATTGAGGAGAGTTGTTTATCTGAATTAATATTTATTGTTTATCTGAAATGAAATGTAATCAGGTGTCTGTATGACTTTGGTAGAACTGCCATAACAAAGCATCAGAGTCTGAGTGATTTCAACAACAGAAATTTTCTTCCTTATAGTTCTAGAGGCTAGAAGTCTAAGATCAAGGTGTTTGATTTCTTCCAGGGTCTCTTTCCACAGCTTGAAAATGGCATCTTTTCCTCCTGTCCTCCATTGTCTTCCCTCATACGAATTTGTATACTAACCTCCTCTTCTTATAAAAATATCAACCACATTGGATTAGGATCCACCCATATGACCTGATTTTACTTTAATTACTTCTTCAAAGGCCTTGTCTCCAAATACATTCAGAGGTACTGGGGGATGAGGCTTTCAACTTACGAATTTGGGGAGAACACAAATCAACCCCTAACAGTGACTGCTGCGGAAAACAGTTCGGTAGTTTTTTTTTAAATATTTAAAAGCAGGGTTACCAAGCATGCGTGCTAAGTCCCTTTAGCTGTGCCTGACTCTTTGACACTCTATGGACTGTAGCACATCAGGCTCCTCTGTCCATAGGATTCTCCAGGCAAGAATACGGGAGAGGGTTGCCATGTCCTCCTCCAAGGGATCTTCCCGACCCAGGGATCAAATCTGCGTCTCTTACATCTCTTGCATTGGCAGGCAGGCTCTTTACCACTAGCACCACCTTGGAAGCACAAGTGACTATAGGACCCAGGAATTCCACTCCTAGGTATATACCCAAGAGAACTGAAAGCATATCCATGTCCACACAAAAACTTGTAACACAGGTAATACATGAATGTTCACAGCAGCACTCTTCACAAGAAGCAAAAAGTAGAATAACTCAAATATCCATTAATGGATAAATGAATGAACAAAGCACTATCCATGCAATGGAATATTATTCATCCCTAAAAAGGAAAGAAGTGGCATTTGCTGCAATGTGAATGAATCTTGACAACAACGTGCTGAGTGAAAGAAGTCAGACACAAGAGACCACACATTGTATGATTCTATTTACGTGAAATGTCCGGAAAGGCAAATTCACAGAGAAAGAAAGCAGACTGGTGTTTACCAGGGGCTGAGGGGCGGGAGAGTAGGAGGGGACAGCTCACTAGTATAGGGGTTCTTCTGGGGTTGATGAAAGTGTTGTGGAGTTAGATAGTGGTGCTGATTGCACAACTCTGTGAACATGTCTAAAAACCACAGAATTGTATACTTTAAAAAGATAAATTTTAGGGTAGGCAAATTACATGCCAGTTTCAACACATGTATGAGAAACACAAATTTTGTCCTGGAGTCCTGTATTTTTTCTTTAACAGGCTTCCCTGGTGGCTTAGTGGTAAAGAATCCACCTGGCAGTGCAGGAGACTTGGGTTTGATCCCTGTGTCAGGAAGATCCGCTGGAGAAGGAAATGGGAACCCACTCCGGTATTCTTGTCCGGGAAAGTCCATGGACAGAGGAGCCTGGCGGACTATAGTCCACAGGGTTGCGAATTGTCGGACACAACTTAGCTACTAAACAACAACCTATATTTTTATGTGCTCAGTCTGGCTACCATAACTTGGTGGGAATTTATGGTACCTTACAGGCAATTAGCCAGGTCGCCTCCAACCTGAGAATGTACGGTCATGTCAGGCGGAACATTAAGGTAAAAGAAGGAAGCTGCAGCTGCATAGACAGTGGGAGTTCCAGGGAAAGAGAGAATGTAGATGCCACCTTGGGACTTCAGGCTTTTTCCAGCCTCCCTTTCCCTTCTGCAAAGTCAGGTTGAACAATCACCATCACATACCTATGAGGGGAGGTCCTCACGAAGCATTTAGTTGGGTGTTCAGTTGACACTCAGCAAAGGCAGTCATCATCAAAAAAAAAACCCTGATAACTGCTTATGCTTCTAAATAAAGTTTTATTGGGACAAGGGCCAGAATTGGAGTGAGGCAAGCAGTCAGGGTCACGGAAGGCAGACTCTGATCCTGTATTTAAAATGTTGATGTCTAGTTCATCATGCATTTTTGCGTTAGCTTTGATTTCTTTACACTATTGTTTTAAAAATGTTGTGTATCTTAAGGATTTTCTTGTGTGTGTCAGCCCTTGTTAAATTTTGCAAAGCAGTGAATACCGCACCCGCCTCACCCTTGCTGTGTGCTTCAGGCACATGGATCCTGAGCCTCAGTTTCCTCATTTGCAAAATGGGGATAATTCTCTCTTCTGGGAAGATGTGTTGAAAAGTGTTTACTTCTAGGCTCTAGGGGCGGGGCGGGGCCTGGAAGGGCGGGGCAGGCTCTCCCGAAAGGGGCGGGCCTTTCGTAACCGGCTCCTCGAGAGGGGCGGGGTCAGGCCTCGTCAGCTGACCTGTTTGGCCAATGGCGCGGGGTGGCGGGGCCTGGCTGGCCGAGGCGGGGCCGGGCGCCGGCCGGCAGTGCGGACTAGCCCGCGATGGACGAGCCGAGCCTCCTGCGGCGCCGTGGGCTCCAGGTGAGGCCCCGTGAGAGCGGGCAGAGGTCGCTGGTGGAGTGAACCTGCCTGGGTGCGGGATCGGGGCTTGGACGGACCGGGGAGAAGCCGAGGCAGAGGGAGGGGCGCGCTCCGGGGGCTCCCGCTTCTGCACTCACATCTCCAAGTGCTTTTCGCTAGATGAGAGGAGGGTATGCCCATTTGCCATATGGAGAAACTGAGGCTCCTTGGGGGAAAGGGGCTGAGGGTTTCGCCTTCTCCACCAGGAGCTCTAATAATACGAGCAACGACAGCTTTTGAGCGCTCATCTATGTTCATGTCGTTGGTGTTAATCCTTTTACTAGTGATGTGTTGTATTAATCTTTTTACTAGGGATGGAGTAATATTAATTAATGTTATTAATTAATGTGTATTAATACGTGCTTCGTGCCTTCGCAGCACCATCGCACCCCTGTCTCAGCTCACCCATAAGGCAAGACGGGGAGGCTGGGACTGTCAGGCAGCCCTTTCATCAGACAAGGAAACTGAGGCTCCAGTCTAAGAAAGTCGCAATCCCGAGGTCGCCCAGCGGCATGTAATTTGCCCACCCTTAACCAGCTCTCTGGTGCACCAGACACTGCCAACTGGCTGTGTGGCCTGGGGAGTGGGGGCAGGGGTGGTGGGAGGCACTCTTGCATTTCTGGACTTCAGTTTCCCCATTCACTATAAGGGCCCTCCTGTTCTGACCCCTGGGTTCGGATTTGTGCTGGGGAGGCAGCGCCACGAGGAGATAAGAAAAAAGGCATCATAGCTAGCAGAGGGTGACCTCGGGTGGCAACTCCTTTGATCTCTCTGGACCTCAGTTTACCCGTCTGTTCAATGGGAGTTTAGACAATCTAGCCCTTTTCCTCGAGCTTAGACCACACATGTAGAAGCCACCAGTTCCAAGTGGGGAAACCGGGATTCATCATTTACCCAACAAACATTTATTGAGTGCCTCCTGTAGTCTCCTGGCTCCAAGAGGCAGTGGTGGTGGTGAGGGGTGTTCACCCCTGGAACTGCCCTCCTGGATCTCCCAGCCTGTTGGGGGAGATGAATATCTGAGCAGCAGGGATCCCGCCGAGGAGTCAGGTGTCATGGGGCACCCTCAGGCACCCCAGGAGAAGGTACCTACCTGAACTGATGGTTGCCAGTGGCTTTGGGACAGAGAAGGCAGTCCCTGGTGGCAGGGCAGGGGGTTGGTGTTTGGGGAATGAATGAGGCTGAGAGAAGCCAGAAAGGACAGGGGTGGGGAAATGGACACTGAGGCCGAGGAGAATGGGGAAAGGCAGGCCTTGAACCTGGCTGCTAGACCGTGAACTTGTCTGAAGGTGAAGGGGGGTGCTGTCACCTGGATTTGGGTTGGGGATCAGGGAGGGTATGGGTAGAGCTGCAAGGTAGAGATCCTGATGGCATGGGGAAGGAGGCGCAGGAGAAGGGCAGGGGTCATTGCCAAGGCAAGAGCGGGGCGGGGTGGGGAGCCTGAGCATAGACGAAGGGGTGCAGCTGGACTAGTGAGCAGCACTGGGGAACCAGGCCCCTCCCGGAGCCCCAGATAGATTTCAGCCCCGCCCGCAGCCTCTTAAAATAGAGAAACTGCCTTCGGGTAGGCGAGTGGGGGTGCAACTGACGTCAGAAAGTGGGGGCCTGTTCCATGGGGAGAAGGTACCCATTCTCTGAGGACGAATCCCATGTTACAAATGGGGAAACTAAGGCTCATAGAATCATAGGCTCTGTCCAGGTGTCCCAGTGGGTAATAGAGTCAGGATCTAAACCCACACAGACCTGGCTGTCCCTCCAGACCAACCCCACATTGGCAGGACTCCATCCAAAGAGGTGGAGGGACGAGTAGGGATTGCCCAGGTGACTGAGGGCAACCTGAGCGGAGGGAACAGCATGTGGAAATGCTCAGAGGTGTGCAGACATGTGTGTTTATGGAGCAGCCAGAGGCCGTTTCTTAGCACTGGACCTGGGCATGTGAGATGGACTCATCTACTTCCAGGGCTTCTAGCGCTGATGTTGAAGAGGTTAGACTTTCTCCCCAGGGTGATTAGGAGCTGTGGAAGGTGCTGGAGCAGGGCAGGTCATGTCAGATCTGAGAGCTTTGAAAGATTCCTCTGGAGCAGGTGGGGGTCTAAAAAAGAGCCAGAAACAAGGAAAGCATCTACAGTAAAGGACAAAGTAGGAGATACAATGAAAATTTTTTTTTTTTAAATAACAGTAGAAGTGTAAATAACTGCTCACATTATGGGGCACCTACAAATGCTAAATGCTAAGAAGGCAATGGCAACCCACTCCAGTACTCTTGCCTGGCAAATCCCATGGATGGAGGAGCCTGGTAGGCTGCGGGCCATGGGGTCGCTAAGAGTCAGACACGACTGAGTGACTTCACTCTCACTTTCCACTTTCATGCACTGGAGAGGGAAATGGCAACCCACTCCAGTGTTCTTGCCTGGAGAATCCCAGGGACGGCAGAGCCTGGTGGGCTGCCATCTATGGGGTTGCACAGGGTTGGACATGACTGAAGTGACTTAGCAGCAGCAGCAGCAAGCATGCATTTAAGTCTCCAACAGCCCAGGGGATTATTAGCTTTATCAGAGTGGGAAACTGAGGCTCAGAGAGGGAAAGTAACAGCCAGAAAGCCAGAATTGAAATTCTAACTGGTCTGGCACTTGAGAGTGCAAAGATGTTGAGGGCTTCGATTTGGGGCATCAGTCACACATTCCTTTAACTGGAGCCCTGAGCGCCTTGTCTCCCCCCCACCGCCCGCCCCCAATCAGGGGGCAGCCTGCTGATCAGAGTCAATCATTTATCCTAAGGCTAATCTTTGCCATAGGTCAAAGAGTCAATTCATAAAAGTTTGAGAAAATCATGAGCTGATTGGCCAGTCCAGACAATACATGGAGGTGTCCTGGCTAATCTGAGTGTGGCAATGCAGGGTATGCTGTTGGCTGAGTGGTTTTGTTGTTGTTTAGTTGATAAGTGTGTCCAGCTCTTAGCACGTCCATGGGCTGTGGCCCAACAGCCTCCTCTGTCCATGAGATTTCCCAGACAAGAATACTGGAGTGGGTTGCTCTTTCCTTCTCCAGGGGATCTTCCCCACCCAGGGATCAAGCCTTTGTCTCCTGCATTGGTGGGCAGATTCTTCATCGCTAAGCCAGCAGGGAAGCCTGACTGAATACTAGGAGGTCATAAATAGGACCTGGCTTGGCCCGCGGGCCACCAGTTTGCCTTGGCTGTGGGTAAAGGGAAGAGGAGACTGGCCCTTCCTGGTTTGGGTTAAGCTCAGCCTTCTGTGTAGCGATTGTCGGCGCCAGTTAACATAAGCTGTTATTAGTAGGATTACTACCACTATTATTCTATCATTATTTTCATTTCCCATTTGGCCCTTTGCTTCACAAATGACAGAATTTTATAACACCAGATCCCCAAACAGAGCATGCGGGGACAGAGAAATTGGCCAGTCTGTGTCTGGACTTTGTCTCTGCTGCTGCTGGGGAAGCTCCCTGAAAGCACCATCTGGCATTCTCATGGCCCAGTTCCAACTATTCTCCTCCTCCAGGAAGTCCTCTGGCTGATGCCATGTGGTCCCTACTGGTCTCTCTCTCTCGACTCCAGCTGCTATCTTCCCATGGGACTTGGTACCCACTGGGCTGAGTCCCACCTCCACCCTCCTGTTTCCCACTAGCCTGCTGGTCCAACCTGAAGACCCCTTCAGGAAGTCTTTTGGCTCCCCACTCCCTCCAGCCCCTTCTCTTCCTCTGGGTCCTTGCTAGTGCCTCCAGGAGGGGGGTGTCCATGCCTTCCCCTGTCTCCTTCAGACTGGGGATTCCTCCAGGTGGAGCTGAGGCTTCTGGTGAAGAGGCAGCATCACCCAGCCCAGAACAGGATACCATAAATATTATCTTTAAAGGGCGGTTCCAGGGGGTTGGACCCCCCCCCCACCTCCACCCCCTTTCTAGGCGAGCACCACTCCCTGAGGAACAGCTGGCAAAGAGGAGGCTGAAGGCAGAAGCAGATGGTGCAGGGAGCAGAGGGTCCGGGGGTGGTTCCGGGAGAGTTCCATGTGGGCCCAGTGTTCCACTGAGCCTTTGCAGGGGGCTACTGACCTTCCCTCATCTCTCTTTGCCACTTTACATCTTTTTGTATTTTGGAAGTAAATTAAAATTTGTGGATTAATTCTGAGTTATCAACCTCACAAAATAATTGTCTTGGCTCCTTTTATCAAAGCCTCCCCCAGCATCAGGCCCTGAGCCTGCTGCTTGACTCCTTCAGGGCCCCATGTAACTGGACCATTTCCAAACAAGGAAACTGAGGCTCAGAGGGATGAAGTTGTTTGGCGGAGATCATACAGCCCAGACTGGGGAGCCAGGCTGGGAACCAAGGACTGTCAGGATTTTAGAAGGAAATGGCTGGGATGGGGTGTATGTGTGTGTGTGTGTGTGTGTGTGTACCCGTGTGGGCACAGCAAAAATCCCTGAGCTCAGATCCCAGCTCCTCTCTGTTTTGTGGGTTAGTAGGGGAAGGAGGAAGCTGGCATAAGAACTCACAACAACTGGAGGGGGCCAGTGGAGCCCCTAATGGTGGTGGGTCTGGGACCGGCTGCCCTGCACGGTACTGAGCTCTTCATCCCCGGAGGTATTCAAGCAAACAAGGAGACCTCGGGTTGGCAGGTGAGCCTCCTCCCATCTTGAAGGGCTCTGACTTGATTTTCTGAGCTCAAGGTAGTTGGGGTCCAGCATCGGGGCTTCGCCCCACCCCCGCAGATCCATCTCTTCCTCTGCCTGGAGACCCTGTCGATCCCTCCCAGCCCTGTCATCCCCGTGCCCAGCAGCTTCCGGCCCCCTCCAATTGGCTGCGGGGGCTGATGACGTCATTGTTGCCATGACGAACGCCCAACTCTAGATGTGGGCAGCCCTGAACCCACCAAGATAAAAATAGTTGTGCATCCTCGACGCTACCGCCCCAGCGTGTGTGTTTGTGTGTGGTGTCCAGAGACCTGGATTCCCGACCCTACCTCAGTCAAGAAATGTGGGCAGCTGCTGCCCTCCGCGCCTCAGTTACCCTGCCTGTAAAAAGGCCTCTGCTCCTGGTGCGTAGTAGCGACTCGGTGAATGTGAGTCAAATTTAGCTAGTATTGCGATAGTCTGCGAAGGCCCTTGCTAAGTTCAAAAATAACACAACAATAACACGCGACGGTAATAATTTCTGATGACTTTTACCCCAGACCTCGCTTTACGTGATCTCCACATTACACATGGGGAAACCAAAGCCCAGGGGGGGATACCAACCACTTGGCTCATGATCCCACGGACAGGAAAGAAGAGATAACAGATCTGGACCCAGGTCTGAGTGTCCTCAGATTCTAAACTCATGCTACACAGCCTTTTGAGAATTAAAAAGTCCTCCTGGGCAAACCACGTTTGAGGGTGGACTCTGGGATCACAATGGACCCCAATCATAGGTGTTTCTTGTATATGGTAAGGACACCCAGGATTGGTGCAGATCAGCTTGCGGAGCTCTGCCCCTTCAATAGGGTTTGTGCCCCCAGCCCCATTGATGATCAGGACCCAAACCTGCCTGGATTCTGCAGAGGGTGAGCAAAAATGGCTTTCAGATCTGAGAGGGCACAGGGTAAGGATGATGCAGAAATCTCCCTTTCTTCAATTGTTGTTCAGTCGCTAAGTTGTGTCTGACTCTTTGCGACCCCATGGGCTGTAGCACACCAGGCTTCCCTGTCCTTCACTATCCCCTGGAGTTTGCTTAAATTTATGTCCATTGAGACAGTGATGCTATCTAATCATCTCATCATCCTCTGCCACTCTCGTTTCCTCTTCCCCTCAGTCTTTCCCAGCATCAGGGTCTTTTCCAATGAGTCAGCTCTTCGCATCAGGTGGCCAGAGTATTGGAACTTCAGCTTCCTCATCAGTCCTACCAATGAATATCCACAGGTTGATTTCCTTTAGGACTGACTGATTTGATCTCCTTGAAGTCCAAGAGACTCTCAAGAGTCTTTTCCAGCACCACAATTTGAAAGCATCAGTTCTTCGGCTCTCAGTCTGCTTTCCTCAATAGAATATTAGTATTAATATTTAGCCACTACTGATAGAGTTCTTGGTAAAATAAACTAATTTATTTTAAATAATGAAGATATTTTTAATGTAAGGAGTCTGAGAGGGCTTCCTGGAGGAAAGGGTGTTTGAGCTGAGACCTGAGGGATGAACTTCAATTAACTAGCACCAGAGGGAGGAAAAGTGGTCCTAACAGAAGATACAGCTGGTGCAAAGGCCCTGAGGCAGGGCTGAGTTCAGTGTACGGGATGAGCAGAAAAGAGGCATTGGTTGGAACAGGGTGAACAAGGGGCCAGCTGGGTGAGTGGAAGGCTAGGGGAGTGAGGGGTTTGTCTCCTTGGGAATGACTCCTGTTTTCTTTTCAGAAGGAGCTGAGCCTACCACGCCGGGGACGTGGGTGAGTTCACCTGGGGCCAGTTGGCTGGGTGGAGCCCTATGGTCCTGGGCACAGATATTTCAGCAGCAGCATCTGAATTGTGAATTTATTTAATAATTACTACAAAGCTCTCACCTTGATCCTGCCCTGCCCCCTTTCCCCCCTGGTGTTTGCAAAGTACTTCACAGGCACCTCACCACAGGCTGGATGGTGAGGTGCAAATCATGTCAGTTTGCAAACGGGAACCTGAAGTGCATAAGGGTTGCATCACTGGCTCAAGAGCACCCAACTTGAAAGGGTGGTATCCAGGGTCCAGACTATAGAATTCCAGTCTGGTGTCCTGGAATTGGCTTGCCTGCCTCCCATGACAAAGCTTACTCTATTTCAGGGAACATCGGTGGAAAATCATACAATTCGGGGTCACATTAATGTTCCTGGTGGCTGGCATTGTGAGGTCCCTCAAACTCCAAGAAGATTTGTTAAGTGTCTTCACTGGTTTGTTGATGTTTAGTCGCCAAGTCATGTTCCACTCTCTGTGACCACCTGGACAGTAGCCCACCAGGCTCCTCTGTCCATAGGGTTTCTTGGGCAAGAATACTGGAGTGGGTGGCCATGCCCTTCTCCAGGGGATCTTCCTGACCCAGGGACTGACTCTGCATCTCTTGGGTCTCTTGCATTGGCAGGAAGATTCTTTATCACTGGGCTACCTGGGGAGCCCCCAGGTTTACACAGGTTTATGGGGGCTTCTCTGGTAGCTCAGTTGGTAAAGAATTCGCATGCAGTGCAGGAGACTGCCTGCAATAGAGGAGACACAGGATTGATCCCTGGGTCAGGAAGATCCCCTGGAGAAGGGAATGGCAACCCACTCCAGTATTCTTGCCTGGGAAAATCCCATGGTCAGAGAGCCTGGTGGGCTACAGTCCATGGGGTCACAAAGAGTTGGACACAAGTGAAGCCACTTAGGACACTTAGCAGCACCGGTGGGAAAAGCAAAACCCAGGAAGGGGAGGCGTTTGCCTTGAGCTGGTGGTCTGGGGAAGTGTGGTGGCAAATACTCCCTCTTCGGAGGCTTGGCAGCTGTGTTTGCCTGAGCTGAGGGTGGGAATTCCCTTGCGCCTCAGTGAAATCACTCCCTCAGCAAACTTCTTTTGAGTATCTACTGTGTACTAGGTTCTGTTCCAGGCACAGGCGACAGGGTGAGAAGTCAATGCTGGACCCTGTCATGCAGCTTGCACTCTCTTGGGCAAAATGATGAAGTGATGTTCTATAGCGAGTGTGTGTGTGTGTGTGTGTGTGTGTGTGTGTGTGTGTGTGTGCACGCGCGCACGCGCTCAGTCATGTCCAACTCTTTGTGACCCTTTGACTGCAGCCCACCAGGCTCCTCTGTCCATGGGATTCTCCAGGCAAGAATACTGGAGTGGCTTGCCATTTCCTCCTTCCGGGGATCTTCCTGACCCAGGGACTGAACATGCACCTCCCAAGTATTTTACACTGGCAGTCAGATTCTTTACCATTGACCCACCTAGGAAGCTCATACACACACACACACACACACACACACACACACATATATTTATAATATATATGGCATTAGTAATAACAGGTATATGGCAATAAGTTCTACCTATCATGATTACCATCATTTCCAAGAGAGAACTAAGCCACATCAAAAAGTGACTTAAATCATTAAACTGTACACCCTAAACTTATATAGTAATGCATATCAATTATATCTAAATAAAACTGGGGNAGCCGGGAAGGGGCGGGGCCAGTTGATGGAGCAATGAACCCGCTTGAGAAGGCAGTGACCGCCCTTCCTTTACGGTGTGCAGCTCAGTGACTCGAAGCCCGGTACCCTCGCCGGCCCTTCCTGGGAGAAGGTGGCACCGGTGCCTCCTGCCTCCCGCAATCCGATCTTTCCTGCCTGGCTGGGCCTGCGCGAAGGTGCAGGGCTCGAAGCCCCGCCCCTGGGCGGAGAGAGCCCGCACGCCCCGCCCCCTGCAGCCCAGCCCCCACTCCGCGTCCGCCTCGCCTGCTAGGCGTGCTGTCCTGGCGTCCTGTCTGTCCGTCCGATTGCGACACGATCAGGGAGGCCACGAAGGGGCCGTCAGTACTCGGTCGCGGTCGCATAGACGCGGCCTCGGCATGAAGTCCCGCAGGGACAAGCTGCACATCCCGGCGTTGACCCTCGAGTGAGTGCTTGACCCTGGAAGGGGAGAGGGAGGGGAAGAGGGGCAGGCTGACAACCACCCTTCCTCCGCGTCTCTGTTCAAGTCGCCCCAAATCGCACCACCGCCTCCGGGGAGCCCTCCCGGGTCATCGGTCTGGCCCCGCCCTCGTGGCCTACGGTAGACCCAGTACCCCCAGCCTCAGGCCCCTTCTCCCTAAGGGAACCACACCCTGGTCCTGTCTCCAGCCACACGCGGGGCCGTTGCCAGGTTCACCGTCCCCGGCCTCTTTCTTTGCAGTCTGTCTCCAAGCAGCCAGAGCCCGTCCTTGCTGAGTCCCAGCAGCCCCTGCAGCCCCTGCAGCCCCTCGCTGGGCCTGCACCCCTGGAGGTAAGTGACAGCGCCCGCGGGCGGGGCGCGGACATTGCCCTGGCACCCCAGAGACTTGGAGGCCGCCCAGATCCAGCTCCCTCCCCCAAGGTACTGTGGGCTGGTGACATGGACTCTCTGGGCCTCAGTTTACCCCTCCATAAAATGACACTGTGAACCACACCAGGACCATGATGGGAAAATTCCATATTCAGTCAGAGCCAGCAGGTCCCCCTTCTGGCACATGGCCAGGGCGAGGCCAGAACTTGAGCTGTTGCCCAAGGACTTCCTCAAGACAGGTGCTGGGTTCCCAGTCTATTCAAGGCCTTGATGAATTGGCCTGGCCTCCTGGGCTGTGACCCAGCAGAAGCTGGCCTGAAAACTCCTCCCTCTGAATGTACACACACACTCACTCACTCACTCACTCACCCACCCCTAAGGCTGAGAGTCCGCCACTGGAGCCCTGGCACTGAACGTAACCAGGCAGAGTGGCATAGAGAGAAAAGAACCGGCTTGACTGAGCAGCGGTTCCCCACCAAACGCCTGCTTTCCCTCCACAACCTCGGGAGAGAAGCGCCCTTTCTGATCCCATTTCTGAGCAGAGGAGACTGAGGTTCAGAGAGGAGACATCAGTTCTCCTGGTTCATTATGTCTGGGGGCTAAGTGTCAGGATCAGCTTTGCCATCAGAGTCTGTTAAGACTCTGAACTACCCTCTGTAACTGGAGAAGTGGGCATCTCAGGGTCTTGCCCCTGTACAGGAAAGAGCATCAAGGTTACAGTGGGCTCCTGGCACAGCTTGGGCAAAATTTAGGGAGGTGACAGAGGTACAGGTCAGTGATGTATAGAATTTGATGGCCTATCAACCATTTACACCTTAGTAGGAATGAGCTGCTAGGACTCTTTCCCTGGGCCTTCAATGGAGAGAAGAGAGAACACTTTGGAGCCCACACAAGGTGCTGGGCAACAGGCAGACACCTTCATTAAGTAGGCATCGACTGTGTGCCAGGTGCTAAGGGCATAGCTGTGAACAAGAGGAGCAGTTTCTTCCTCTTGGGGCTCTCAGGCACTTCTCAGGCAGTAGGCAATGAACAAGGGGGTGGGCAAACAAGACACATTCAGAGGGAGAACTCTTAATGTGGTGTTTGAGCCAAGGCCTGAGCAGGGCTGGGGGAAGGAAGGCACCAAACAGAGAGAACTGCATATGCAGAGGTCCTGAGGCAGGACCAAGATTTTTTTATTTTATTATTTATTTATTTATGGCCACACTCCCCGCACTATGTGGGATCTTAGTTCCCCAACCAGGGATCTAACCCACACTCCCTGCAGTAGAAGCACACAGTCTTAACAACTGGACCATTAGGGAAGTCTCAGGACCAAGATTTTTATAGCCTCTGTGGCCACCTTGGGGGAAGAAAGATTGGCTGGGGACAGGAGATAGGAATGGAGGTGACAGAGGCAAGGAAGTGGCTAGGGCAACATCCAGGTAGGAGATGGTGTGGTCTGGACCAGGATGGGGTGCCTCAACGGAAGGCAGAGATGGTGTTGCCCCCTGTTTAGCAGAGGAGGAGATTACAGCTTAGGACCTCCGAGTGTGTTGTCCAGGGGCACCTTGGGAGAGAGTATCAGGCCAGATCTGACTCTTGAGTCTTTGGCCTCAACCCCAGCTGAGGACCGGATGAGGGGAGGGACCTGCTGAAAGCAGATAAGGCAGTTTTACCAGGAGGAAATGGAGGCAGAGAGTTTGGGGCCCAAGCTGAGTCCGCTGGTCCCCTTTCTCGCCACTAGGGGGCAGCAGAGCTACATTGCCTTGCGCCAGGCTAAGAACTGGGTCCCTGTCTCCTCTGCTCTGAGCACTTTAGGAATAAGCCCACACTTGTCCCCTCAGCCTCCAAAGCCCTATGGGTCCAGCCCACAGAGTGCCAGTAACTGTGTAAATAGGAAGATGTTAGGTGGACACAGTGATGCACCTCTCCACCCCCGCCCATCCCTCTCTCTCCAGAGCTCACCTGACTACTCATGTGGCTTCCTGGACTGCCAGAGTATAAGCTGGTCCAGCCTCAGGGCCTTTGCATTTGCTGCGCCCCCCCGCCCCCCCCCCCGCCCCAGAGCTCCATTTTCTCTATTTACTCCTTTATTCGTCTGTCAAGTCTCTGTCAAGCTCTCAGATAGGAAGTCTTTCCTGACCAACCCTCCCCGCCCCTGCCCCACCATTAGGGCCCCAAGCCCCACTTACATTCATGTTGTGCATCCTGACCCCACCATGAGTGCGATGTGGTGGGCCTTAGTTACAACAATCAGGCTCCTGGTTGATGCATGCAGGATCTTTCGTTGCAGTGCACAGGTTTCTCTCTAGCTGGGGCACTTGGGCTCAGGATGTGAGCTCAGTAGTTGGGGCGGGGTCAGTTGCCCCACAACATATGGGATCCCAGTTCCCCAACCAGGGATCAAACCCGTGTCCCCTACATTAGATGGCAGATTCTCAACCACTGGACCACCAGGCAAGTCCCTCTGTTTTCTTGTGTGATTATTGAGTTGGTTTTTTTCACCCAAAGGTTTGGGAGCCCCTTGAGGGCCTGACTTCATCTGTCCTGGTCATCCTATAGCCTCAGGCACAACCTGGTAGATAGCAGGTGCTCAGTTAATGCTTGGGGCACAAATAGGAGGCGGCTGGGAGGGCCCCACCCGTTTTGGGGTACCGGGAGCAGATTGAAGGGAAGGTCTTGAGTTGGGTCCTTATGGCCAAGGGCACAACAAAAAGGCTGTTGCAAGCAGGAACAGCATTGTCAGAGGAGGGTTCCCTCTGGCCTTGGATACTAAGGACAGGAAGATTTTGGATTTTCTACTGAGGGTACTGGGAACCCCACAAGGTACGGGGCTTGGAGGGGTGTGGACAGCTCATGGGCAGGTGGAAGGGGCTGTGATGGTCTGACCAATATGGGGTCAGGAATGGGGGTCTGTATGTCCACCGAGGGCTTTCCTGTTTACACAGTTACGGCACAGGCAGACAGAGGCAAAGCCCTAGGCACAAAGCTAGGATCCGAGCTCTAGGAAAGGGATTAACCCAGGAGTGCGGATTTGCTGTAAAATGAGGAGCCGTGGAGGGTGTGTGAGCAGGGGAGGACCTTGCTCTGGTGGGCAGTGGGCTGGTGCTGGAGATTGCTGGCTCAGCTAGCCTTTCACGGGAGGTCTTTTCCATGGCCATGGGCCCCCATGGGCTACAGACCAGCTGTAGCCTGGTCTGCAGAGGAGGAAACTGAGGCCAGATGGGCGTGGGAGAAGCAGCTGCTGGGGATGCCAGCGTCGTGGGAGTAATGGGAGGCAGACAGGCGGTGCAGGCTGGGAATGATGGGTAGCTCCTTTCCTAACTGTGTGCAGAAGTGTCCCTGGCACATGTGGGGGGGGGTGGGGAGGAGCTTGTGGATACTGCGTGCTAGTGTATGGTGCATGAGACCATGACTTCATCCCCACTTGAGTTCCTAGACCTATGGGACCTGAATTCCTCCCGGGCAAGAGGCTCTGTTCCCTGTACGTGGCTCTGGCTAAATACCTGAGAATATCCTCATCCCTTCATCTGACCCCTTAACAGCACCTCTTCTTCAGCCTCAGAATACATCCAGAACTTACCCACTTCACTCTATGGCCCCACCCTGGTCCAACCCTCAGTATCCCCCTCCCAGGCCCTGTTACAGCTCCTCACTAGCGTGCTGCCACTTTCCACTCCTGCCCCAACAGCTCCTGTTCCCCATGGCAGACACGAGGGAGGATGTTTTACATCACACCCTTCCTCTGCTCACACATCCTCCATGGCCCCCTATTGCCCTGCAGTAAAACTGCCATCCTCCCTGTAGCCCACAAGGCCTGTATGGAGAGTCTTGCTGGTATCTTCCTCTCAGCCCTGCCCCAGGGCCTTTGCATAAGCTGTGCTCTCTGACTGAGATGCTTTTTCTCCATGGCTGGCCCCACTGCCTTCTCCGTGTGTGGCTGGCTGCAGTGTCACCTCACAGAGGCTAAAGTTGTCCTTTGCCATTGCTACCCCTGTTTTTTGCCTTCCTTGACTTCAGAAATTAACTTGTTCATGTAATTGTTTCCTGTATACTCTCTGCCTCCCCTACCAGACTGGGGACCCTGGCTGCAGGGATTATTTGTGTCCTGCATCCCCAGTGTTCAGTACAAAGGGTAGGTGTTCAGTGTTTTTTTGAGTGAACGAGTGGCTAGGTATGGGTTGTTTGAGCCTCAGTCTAGAGGGCCTGGGGAGACACTCAGCAATGTCTGGGCCACCTGAAGGTGACCCTGGGCTCGAAGGGAGCAAGGTGGGGAGTCTGAGAGAGACTTGAGAAGCAAAATCAGTGGCACGATGGATGCACAGGGTTAGGGCTAGCTACCAGGCAGCAACGCCCTCTGTATGCCTCGGTTTTCTCAGATGTGGAGTCAGGCTCCAGGTCAGTCCTGCCTGGGCTAGTTCCCAAAGTGTTGTATGGCCTGTGGAGGGTTCACCTTCAGGGTGACACTGTCCCTGATTTCCTTGGGGGGGAGCTGTCATGAAAGGAGGAAGCATTAACTCACAGACTACTGTGTGACACATTACATAATGAAGATGATCTGTACCCCAGCTCTGTACCAGGCACTTTCTGTGCCTCTGATTTCATTGTTATTCAGTCGCTAAGTCCTGTCCGACTCTTTGGGACCTCATGGACTGTAGTCCACCAGGCTCCTCTGTCCTCCACTGTCTCCCAGAGTTTGCTCAAATTCATGTCCAATTGAGTTGGTGATGGTATCTAACCATCTCATACTCTGTCGGCCCTTTCTCCTTTGGCCTTCAGTCTTCCCCAGCATCGGGGTCTTTTCCAATGAGTCAGCTCTTTTATTGCATTTTCACAAATGGACATGTGTAGACGAGGAAACAGAGGCCTGGAAGTTTACCTAATGCTAACACTTATCAAATGTTTACCAGGCACTCTTGGAGACACAAAGTAATCTTCGTGTCAGCCCCATATTCCTCCCATTTTACAGTTGAGAATACTGAGCCTTGAGAAGTTAAATCAGGTGTCTGATTCCCGATAGTAGCCAGGCTGATGGCTTTCCTGTCATACAGACAGGAAGCGTGTGTCAGGTGCTCTGACTCAGTTTGCCAAACACGCCCACTACTGGAAGATGCTGGGACAAAGAAGCCCCAGCCAGGGGAAGACAGAGCCGGACAGACACAAGAGAAGTCTTCCTGGAGGAGGGGGACACTGGATTTTGCCAGACAGGAAAGGCATTCCAGAGGAAAGCCAGCGTGGGCGCGGTAGCATGAGCTGAACCAGGCTACTGGATGGGTCTGAGTGCCACACTCTTGAAGGGCTTAACGCCTAAAGAGTGGGTAGAGGGAGAAGCGGTCGTATTTACATTTTAATGGAAGAGAGCCAAGTTCCAAATCCCTGCATCCAGGTACCGCCAACGCCCCGCCCCCGCCGCCTGCAACCCTGGCAACGTCCCGCCCCTCCGCCCGCGGCCCTGGCAACGTCCCGCCCCTCCGCCCGCGGCCATGGCAACACCACGCCCACTCGCCAGCACGCGAGTCCGCCGGCCTTGCTTCCGCGTCGCTCACCCCTCCCAGCCAGGCCAGGCCCCGCCCCCGCGCGGTCCTGGGCGGGGTTCCCGGCCTCGCTCCCCAGCGCGCGCTTCCTCCTCTCCCCATAACCCAGGCCCCGCTGCGCGCCCCCCGCCCCTCACCGTGGGGCTCCGGGAGCAGTTTCCACGGTGAAGGTTCGCGCCCCGCCGCCGCTGGTTGCGCCCCTGGGCCTCTCGGGCCTCTAGCGGCGGCGGCGGCACAAAGGGAAGAAGCATGTCCGACCCCAGCTACTGGACGGCGGTGGCGGCACCCGGCCACCGGAGCCGCCTGGCCAAGGGCGCATTGCTGCAGCGCTCCAAGAGGTAGGGGCTTCGCGCGGACCTACCCAGTGGCGCGGCGGCCGACCGAGCAGACACGAGTTGCCGAAAGTGCGTCTCGGCAGCGTGGCGAGGGCCCCAGTGTGCGGCGGTAGGGGGAAGTGGGAGGATGCTTTGGGATCTAGGTGTCCCCTGGGGTCCCAGGTACCCTCCTCTCACCCCTCCTTACCCAGACTGGAGTGTCTGTCCTCCAGGATCAGCTCAGAGGCTGTAGGGATTTAGGACTGAATCAGGATTCGAACCTGGGTCAGTCCTCTGGCCAGACCTGGGGAGGAGCTTCTTGGAAAAACTGAGGCTCTTTGGTCCTTGGGGCCCAGTCAGCGGAAACGTTGGTTCAGAAGTAAATATTTGCTGCAAGAGGCTGGTGTGCATGTCGGTTATCAGGGAGGAAAAAATCACTTTGTTGTATACAGAGCAAAGTGGAGTCTCCGTTTCTTCTTCTGAAAAGCAGAGGAGCTAAGTGAGGGCTGTGAGCCCTGCTGGACCTGCGTGGAAATTCCAGCTCAGCCAGTGTCAGGGTATGTGGCCTCAGGCAGGGCATGTGCGTGGTCTAGGCATCCCCAGAGGGAACACAGACAAAGGCTGAGTAATGGGACCAGCTGTTGAAGGGTCTTGAATGCCCAGTTCAGGGTTCAGGCTCTTCTTCCAGAACCCGGGGATGCAGAAGGCTCATGGGCATCTCAGGGACCAGGTGCCGGAAACTGACCTCAGGCCCCTCTTTTCTGACCTACTTCTCACTCTGTTGAAACACAAGGGTGATTATTGAAAAACTAGGCAGCTTCTCGGGGTCCTGCGCCTTCTCCAGGAAGGACTGAGCAAACAGTTGGTGTTCAACAGATGCTCGGGAATTGAACAGAGGATGCCCAGTTCCCTTTTGAGAGCTCAGATGTAGCTGTTTTTGAGAAGGCCCTGCCTGAGAGCAAGAGGGAGGAGGCCAAGTGTTTTTCTCAAATGCTGTTGGAAATGAAAAATGATGCATCGGGATGAAGAGTCCAGTGAGGCGTTGGAAGAGGATGTGGGCTATGGAGTGTGTGTGTGTGTGTGTGTGTGTGTGTGTGTGTGTGTGTTGGGGTGGGGGGTTGACAGGAAGTTTTGCAGGAACCTGTGGGTTTCACTTTTGCTTCTGCACCTCAGACTAGAGGACAATCTCTGTGGCTGGTGACATCCGTGGCCTCAATTTTCCGGGCTGGGAAATGGGTGTAGCTGGTCTCTCCCTCCTCTGGGCTTATTGGTATTGGTGAATGTTGGTGATTTCTCTGGCGAGTCATTGCCTTCTCTCCCTCCGTGCACCAAGCCCTGTGAGCAGTGTCGAGAGAAAGATGGCAGTGTACGTACCTGCCACAGTTTACCCGCCCAGAGCTGAGTACTGTGTATGCACCTTGCAAGGTATACAGATGGGGACGCTGAGGCTCCGAGGGGCAGGGGCGTGTACAGCAGTGGGTAGGCTGAACCCCTCCTGCCCGTGCATTCAGTCTCCTGAGTGGGTAGCTGACCTTCCCTTCCGTGGCCTGCGTTGTGCCTTCTGCCTGGGACACCGTTCCTGGCCCCGTGAGGCCCCAGCGTTTCATCTCTCCCTCTCTACGCAGTTCCGCGAGGCCGGGCTGCGTTGGCAGCTCTGGCTGCGTGGGCTGATGCACTTGTCGGGCGAGCAGAGCCGTTGCCAGGCGACTGCCAGGGTTGTGGGGGGGAACCATGTTGCTCCCAACTTCCCTTTGCCAGGGCGGGGGCTGGGGCCAGGGCCCAGGTGGGAGAAACTGGGCAAGGGCAGGAGGGAGGGGCCTGAGCCAGGGATCTGGTGGCCAGGAAGGAGCTGGGATGAAGGGAGGAAAACATGTGGGCCAGAGTTTGGCAGAACAAGATGCAACTGTGCATGATGCCGGCTTTAGGGTTTCCAAGGGTCAAATTGGCATTTTAGGGGGACCTCAGGGGAGGGGATTGGCCAGGAGGTTGGAGCCGTGGTCCTGGGAAGAGATGCTGAATGTGGAGTAGGGGGTCTGCCTCCACCCCTTGTGGGTTCCAGGGTCCTCTCCACCCTCTGCCTTGTGTGCCAGTGTTCCTGGCAAAGCGCTGGGAGTGGGATTGTGAACACAGAAGCTGGAGAAGCAGGGCCAGGGGCTCCCAGGCTGAACTCAGGGCCATGGGGGAGTCCACCTGGGGAGCAGAGAGGGCATGCTCATGCCCCCGAAGCTGCCACCCATGGGCTCCCGGTTGGGCATGTGGTTCTCTGAGCCAGGAGGCCCGGGTCTGACCTTATCCCCACCTCCCCCAATAGCTGCCGCAGCGGGAACCGCAAGAGCCTGGTGGTAGGAACGCCCTCACCCACCCTTTCTCGGCCCCTGTCACCACTGTCCATCCCAACAGGTGTGTGCGGGGGGCAAGCGGGGTGGGGTTGGAGGTGTCCTGTCTCCACTCCCACTGACTCAGTTTCCCCACCTCCTCCTCAGCAGGCAGCAGCCCCTTAGATAGTCCTCGGAATTTCTCAGCTGCCTCTGCCATCAACTTCCCTTTCGCACGGAGGTGAGTGGTTGCCACTCTTGGGGGATGGTGGCTGATACCATGGGCAAGGGGCCAGGCAGGGGCCTGCACTTGGTGGCTGGACCTGCCTCCTCATCAGCCTTTTCCCCCTCCCCTGGCCTCTGCCCTGCGGTGGTCCCCCCTCTGGCTCCCGCCCCTGGCAAACGCATGCATGCATGACCTCCTACAGCCACATCGCACGCACAGACAGGTAATTTCTAGGAGCCCTTGGGGAGGGGGTGGGGGCGGGGGTGGCATGGCCCGGGCCAGGAATCTCTCACTCACTGAAAGTTACTAATTCACCTAACAAGAGCTGGCGGAGGAGCTGTTGTGTGCCAGGCATTTAAATGTCACTTATTCATTCAACAATGTTTATCGCGTTCCTGCTGGGTGCCATGCCCTCCGCTGGGGGACTGAGGAATGGGAGGCTGGACTTTGGCCCTCAGGGCATCCTCAGGCTGGTGGGAGTGGCCAGCATGTACCCTACCCGCTGCAACTCAGAGAGCAGCTTTGATGGCAGCTGGCATCAGGGAGGACTTCCTGGAGGAGGTGTCTGGAGAACAAGGAGAAAAACACAGTGGACTTGCTCACCCTATGTTCCTGTTCTTGGGCCTTTGCAGAAGGTTCTTGCTCCGGCGGGGCCTGGGTCTGCCAGCCATAGTGCCTGCCCTTGGTCCCCACAAACCGCAGGGGCCATGCCTCCCTTCCAACGCCTCATTCTCCTTCCCAGGGCCGACGGCAGAAGATGGTCCCTCGCGTCGCTCCCATCTTCTGGCTATGGAACCAACACGCCCAGCTCCACTGTCTCGGTACCCAAAGTCTTACCTTGGCAGGCAGACCAGGGAGTGCCAGGTTGGGGGTGGGGGAGACACATCTTTGTTTTGTTTTGGTTATTTTAAGGTGTTGAATAGTTGTCTAGTCGGCGAAACATCCTGGTTTCCCCCCTCTGTTCTCCATTTTGAGCAATGTGGGGGTCCCTGAAAGGACCCAGCCTTGGCCCAAAGGGCTCCTGGTCGGGTATACACAGATATCTGTATCCTTGTGTGGTCAGGGAAGATCTGGTCAGAGGGGGTCTTGGAGTTGCCAAGGGAGCAGCGAGGGCTTCCTGGAGGAAGGGACATCAAAGCTGGAGTTTTGAAGGATGCACAGGAGAGCGGCAGGAAAGTTACCATGATGACCGATAGACTGGGCCTTGAGAGTTAGGATAATGCTGGGGTCCTGGCTGTGGTGCTGACCGTGAACCCATGGCCCTGATACCCCCTCCTGCCAGTCGAGCTCATCCTCTCGGGAGCGCCTCCACCAGCTTCCTTTCCAGCCGACACCGGACGAACTCTGCTTCCTGTCCAAGCATTTCCGCAGCTCAGACAGTGTGGCTGATGAGGAGGGCGGCCACCGCTCACCTCGCCTCCGCCCCCGCTCCCGCAGCCTCAGGTGGGCCTCCACCTCTAACCCCGGCCCCAGCCCTTCCCCGGGCTGGCCCCTCCTCCACCTCCCGTCCTGACCCCACCCGAGCCTGGCCTCTGGCCCTGGGCCCTCAGTCCTGGCTCAGCCACCCTTCCCTGGGCTGTTTTGGGTCCCATGTCTTAAGCCAGTTGTCACCTCCTTCAGCCCTGGACGCACCACAGGGACCTTCGACAATGAGATCGTAATGATGAATCATGTGTACCGGGAGAGATTCCCCAAGGTGGGCAGCACCTGGCGGCCGGACCAGCCCCAGCTCCGCTCCTTGTTGCTGTCCCTCCATGGCACGCGCTGACTTCGTGGTTGTGTCCCGCCCCCATCTGTGCGTTTCTGTTTCTCCCTGCACCCCCCCCACCCCCTCTTGCATCTGTACACATCGCTTCTTCCCCTCCGATCCTTGGACCCCATCATCACATCTTCTCTCTCTCCCGCCCCCATCTGCACACGTTGCTCCCAGGCCCCATCCAATGACCAAGTCACCCTATCTCCCCCCCGCCCCCACTTCTGCCCAGGCCACAGCACAGATGGAGGGCCGTCTGCAGGAGTTCCTGGCCGCCTTCTCGCCTGGCGCCCGGCTGGCACTGGCTGACGGCGTCCTGGGTTTCATCCACCACCAAATCATCGAGCTGGCCCGCGACTGCCTGGCCAAGTCTGGAGAGGCGCTTGTCACCTCCCGCTACTTCCTGGAGATGCAGGAGAAGCTGGAGCGGCTGCTGCAGGATGTGCGTGGTGGGGGTGTGGGGGGGTGGGAGTGGGCACAGGCTGTCGGGGTCCCCAGGCAGGACAGGGCGGGACTAGGGGCTAGTGTATGATGCTACCACCCATCTGCTCCCAGGCCCACGAGCGCTCAGACAGTGAGGAAGTTGGCTTCATTGTCCAGCTCGTCCGGAAGCTGCTGATCATCATTTCGCGGCCAGCAAGGCTCCTCGAGTGCCTGGTGAGTGTCTTGGCACATGGCCGGGTGCAAGGCTCAGACCAGGCCCTCAGCAGTGCTGCTGAGATTAAAAAGAGACAGTCCCCATCATGTAGGGCTTTGAGAGGAACACTGGGGGCCACCAGACTCGGGGGGGCTTCCCAGAAGAGGGACCAGGAGCTAGGATCCCGGGGATGAGTTGGAGCCACTGGTGAGAAGGCTTCAGACGGAGGGAGGTGGCTGTGCAAAGGCCTGAAGGTGGGACCAGGCCCTGACTGACCAATCCCTCTGCATCCCCAGGAGTTTGACCCCGAGGAGTTTTACCACCTGCTGGAGGCTGCCGAGGGCCAGGCCCGAGAGGGCCAGGGCATCAAGACTGACCTGCCACAGTACATCATTGGGCAGCTGGGCCTGGCTAAGGATCCACTCCAGGGTGAGCTGGAGTGGGGGTGGGGCCGAAAGAGGAAACTGGCATGAAAATGGGGAGGAGCCAGGGTTCCAGCCTGTGTCCATGTGACTCTGGAGTATGCCACACTGTCCTTCCCCTCTGTTTGGCTCTGTCCTCAGCCACCTGCAGGGCACATTTTGGGTAAAGTGCTCAGGATTCCAGGGTAAGGTGGCCAGAGTTGGACTGCCTGACCTGCCAGCTGCCTTGAAGCCTTAGTGTCCTCAAAATGCTAAATCGAGTTGGGCCAGGGAGCCAGGGAACCACCCTGAGCAGTGGCATTCTCTTGTCGTGTGAATTCCAAAGCACTTTCCCAGTTTCTTCTGACTGTGGCCTGGGAAGTGGGACACGGAGTCAGACAGGGCAATCCATGGGCACAGCTGAAATGGTCAGGAACCTCCCCCAAACAGTCAGGACAGGGAAAAAGACATGGTGCTGGGGGAAGCATTGAACTTGAACCTGGCCTAGTCTCGGGGTAATCAGGGGAGCTCTGGGGAAAGATTATATTCAAACTGGGGCCTGGAGGATGAAGTGACCAGATGCAGATTTGGGGCAGAGAGGAAGTGCACCAGGCAGTGGGAACGGTGAAGGCAAAGGTCGTGAGATGGGTGTGTGTCCGGCCTTTTGGAAGAGCAGCGAGGAAGGGGTGTGGCTGAGGAAGGAGGGGTGACGGGGTCAGCAGGACCCGGCCGCAGTGGCCGGCATCCACGGGGACCAGGCTGCCATTGTCCCATCTAAAGCTGGAGAGACTGAGGCTCTATGCCGTTGAGCTGGATTCAGGTCCAGGTGTGCCCGAGGCCAGATCACGCTCAGACTAGCCGTCTGGCCGAGACTGCTCCGCAGGCGGTGCTGTGGCGGGGGCGGGGCCCCCGGTGTCAGAGGAAACGGGAAGTGGCTGGGCAGGCGGGTGGCAGCTGAGGCTGAGTGCAGATCACCTGCCCAGCGCTGCAGGGGGCCCTCTGAGAGCGGGAGGGGCTGCGTCCAAACCCGGGCCTCGCTCACCCGAGGCTGTGCTGCCCCGTCTCAGCCTTGCTCTGTGACCACAAGACACTGTCTTCATGGTCACCGTCACCACTAGTGTTCACCAGCCGCTCACTATCACTCAGGACTGCCCCTGCTAAACCCCAGCTGAGGCTGGAAACTAAGGGGGCTCCCCCGGGCCCTGCCCTGAGCTGAGGAGCGTGTCAGCCACCACCTAGAGGGCCTGCGTCGCAGCGGGTGTTCACGGCCCCGAGACTTGGAGCCAGGATTCAAGATAGCCGGAGCAATCAGAACCTGGGCTTCCCACTCGCCCTTCTGGAAGGTTCCTCAGTCATTGCTCAGTCCAGCCTCCTGGATTTGACCAAAACCTGGATGCAGTAGGGACTCAACAACAGAGTCATGGGAGCTGGTCAGGGGAGGCACTCTCTCCCCAGCCCAAGATGAGCCCTGGAGGCCTCAGGAAGTCTCTGACTGGTGAAGGGGCCGGGCTCAGAAACCCCGTCTGAGGCTCCTCCCACACTTTACAGAGATGGTGCCTCTGAGTCACCTGGACGACAGTGGAGGACAGCCGCCAGCGCCCGAGGACGCCCCCGAGGTAGGACAGCACAGAGCTTGGCGCCCCCTCCTGTCTTTTGATGGTAGACCCGGTGGCCCTGAGAGGGGCTAGGTTTGCCATTTGCCGAGGTTTTGTATATAGTAGGTGCTTAATGAACGCCTGTGACCTTGGGGGAATGTGGGGGCAGGTGAGATTGCCCTGCTGGGGAGGTTGGGCAGGGCAAGGTTGGAGGGGGCCCTGGAAAGTGGGGTTTTGCAGGCTGTGTAGGAGTTTTCTGCTAGGAGGGCATGCATGGCTTCAGCTAAAATCTCAAACTTGGAGGGTGAGTTTGAGAAGTATGTACAGGAGAAGTAGCATTAGGTGCCAGTTAGGACTTGGGGGCAGGAAGAACACAGCCTGCTCTGAGCTGGGGCAGGACCCTGACCCCTGTTGCCCTCCCCCGACCCCAGAGTCGTGCCCTGGTCGGCCCTTCACGGAGGAAGCCGTGTGAGAGCGACTTCGAGACTATCAAGCTCATTAGCAATGGGGCCTATGGGTGAGTCCTCGGGCCCCCGTAGACCCATTTCTCAGATGCCTTGGGGATGACTGAGGCCCACACAGCCCCTGAGTATATAGACAGAGAAACAGACAGAGAAATAGGCAGAGGGAAGCAAAGGCACAACCCAGCAGGGACATGGCTTGGCAGGGGTCATCCGTGATCTTGGGCCTTCCTCGCCCCGAGTGTAGGGTTCTGGGAGTTTGGGGGCTGAGCAAGCGATGGCAGTCATATTCAGCGAGCATTATTTAAACGCCACTCTGAAAGATTTGCTTTGGTGGAGGTGGTAGGGAGGGATCCCTCATAGCATAAGACTGTCATGTGGGGGAGGGCAGACGGGGGAATTACAGAGGGGGCCTATGTGTCCAGGCTTGAGTGTCAGCACCGCGGTGGGGAGTCTCTGAGTCAGAGAGCTCCATCAGGTGGAAGCAGCTTGGGGTTTTCATAGCCCCAGCATTTACCTTATCTGAGGGTATGCAAAACCAGCAGGCTCTAAATGGCTAAAAATCTGCTTATTTGAGTTTTAATGAACACAATTTGAGTTTGTGCCAGCGAGGCTTCTGAACTAACAGTTCTCAGTTAGCTGGGAAGAAATAAACGACCTAGGAGCCATCTTTGACTCTTGATACGACACCAGGGAGTGTGGCTTAAACCCTCGGAGTGGCTGCCTGGGGGGAGGGCACAGGCACGGCATGTGGGGTTCTGGACCCAGGTCACGTCCCGGTGCCTGCCGGGGCTCCGGCAACCCCCCACCCCCGCTCCAACCCCACCCCAGGGCCGTCTACCTGGTGCGGCACCGGGAAACGAGGCAGCGTTTTGCCATCAAGAAGATCAACAAGCAGAACCTGATGCTGCGCAACCAGATCCAGCAGGTCTTCGTGGAGCGCGACATCCTCACCTTCGCCGAGAACCCATTCGTGGTCAGCATGTTCTGCTCATTCGAGACCCGGCGCCACTTGTGCATGGTCATGGAGTATGTGGAAGGTGTGGTCACGAGGGCTTGTGTGCCTCCAGCAATGGGGAGCTCACCCCTTATCCAGGAGACAGTCTAGAGTCTGCTCTGTCTTCCATGGGGTCCCAGCCTGCCTTGGTGAGAGGAAGGGCTCAGTCTGCAGTGGGGGACCCAGCAGTGGGGTTGGAGATGGGGAAGCCCAAAGACGAGTGTGAAGGCAGAACCCTAGGGTTTTAAGGTAGGGGTAGGGTGGACAGCCTAGGCAGAGGGGACTGGTGGGTGGAAGCTTGGAGACTAGAATAAAAGCAAGCGTGGGTTGGAAGGACTGGGATGGTTGGAGGCCAGGCTGAGGAGCTGTAGGATCAGGTTTCCAGCTCAGGAAAGAGTAGTGTCTTCAGGTAATGGCAGGAACAAGCATTTACCAAGGTAGCTGCCAGGCAAGGAGAAGGAGCGTGCACTTAGGAGGCACCAGCTCTGTCCAAGGGAAGGGACCGTGCACTTAGCAAAGCTGCTGCCCTGCCCAGGGCAGATCAGAAAGTTGGTTCTGCACACCCGCCTGTCCCTGCCAGCTTCCCACCCCAATTCAGGATGGACTAGGGACACTGCAGGAGGCGGGGAGGGCAGGGAGGCACAAGTCTAGGCACAGCTGCAGAGCCAGGGATCTCTGCGAGCACGTCCGCGCTTCTGCAGGTGGTGACTGTGCCACGCTCCTGAAGAACATGGGCCCGCTGCCTGTGGACATGGCCCGCATGTACTTCGCCGAGACGGTGCTGGCACTGGAATACCTGCACAACTATGGCATCGTCCACCGCGACCTCAAGCCTGACAAGTGAGTGACAGGGGCCTCTGGGGGCGGGGCCTCAGGGTGGGTCTGGGGCTGCTCTGGAGCACCTTTATCTGGATCCCGCCGGCATCATGGGGCCCCAGCGGCGAGCAGATAATTAATAGACTCCTGCTGTGCGCACTTATGGAAGAGGGTGCCCAGACCAGACAGAGGAAAGGACCATGCGCTCAGAGCGCTGCTACAATATAATGGAAGTGAACTTGACTGTCTGAGGCACCAGCTGTTTACAAAGAGCAGGGCCATGCACTTTGCAAAACCTCATGTGTGAAGAAAGGGTCTGTGCGCGTCTTGAACACCTGCTCTGTGTTAGTGTAGGGAAGAGACTCTCAGGCTGATTATTTTATTCTAGCACCTAGTAAGGATCTATTGAGTGCCAGGTCCTCTGTGAGTGACTGGAAAACACGAGTGTGAGTGTGAATAACCCCTCAGGCTTTGTAACCCCTCCATAATTTTCAAAGCACTCGCTTCCTGCATTAATTGAGCACTTTATGTGTGCAGAGGAGAGGGCTGCTCTTATATCAAGTAGCCTCTGGACATCAGGCAGGACATGTGAGCACTCAGGTACTTGTGTGTGGAGACATGAACATAAGCATCAAGAGTCTGCATGTTTTAGGGCTTACTTGCCTGGTGACCCAGTGGTGAAGACGCGGCGCTTCCAATGCAGGCTACACAGGTTCAATCCCTGGCCGGGGAGCTAAGATCCCACATGCTGGGCTGCGCAGTGTGGCCAATAATTAATTAATTAAGAGAGTCTGCATGTTTTCAGGCCATCTTATATTTTGCAAGTGGCTTAGAAAACAAAGCACATGTGTTTGGCACTTGCCGTCTACCTTGGGCCAGTGCTGTGATTCTAAGGAGCCCAGATGGCAGTATAACTGACTCCTCACACACTGATGACTTTTGAATTTTTAAAGCACATTTTTTGCTGGTGTGTATTTATCGAGCACCAGCTGTGTAGAGGTGATCAGAGCACCTCTGCTTAATGACTGTGTTATGAAGCAAGGACTGTGTGTCAGGCCCTGAACAGTGCAACTGTCCTTTTATATGAAGTTTTTATGTTGAGGTTGGCATGGAATGAACACCTGCTGTATACCAGGGCAGGGGTCCCTTTCTCCAATGAAGGTACTTGCCGCGTGGAGTTGTGAACCGGAGCCTTAAGAGCCCTGCATGCTTTCAGAGCATCTTGTAGTTTGCCGGAGGCTTAGAACAGCGGCCCCCAGCGTTTTTGGCACCAGGGAACCGTTTCATGGAAAACAATTTTCCCACGGACCAGGGTGGCACGGAATGGTTCTGGGATGATTGCAGCGCATTACATATATTGTACACTTTATTTCTATTACTATATCAGCTCCACCTCAGGTCATCAGGCATTAGGTCCCGGAGGTTGGGGACCCCTGGCTTAGGAAACAAGCAGACGTGTAGTTGGCACCTGTTGTATGCCTGGGCCTCCGTGCTGCGTGTGCTATCGCTGCTTGCTGTGTGCCCGTCAGGCCTCTTTGCGCTCATCCTGGACTGGGGTATTCCAAGCGTTCCCGAGGCAGAACCGGCCCCTCCCGTGCTCACTACCCTTATCTGCAAAACGGGATGGGAAGGGCTCCAGCCCCAGAGGATTCAGGGAGGGATAGGCCCCCACTATTGGTGCCGGAGAAAAATAATTTTTCCTTTGCAGTTCAAAAAATTTCAAGTACACCCCAAGCCAAGAGAAGGTGCATTCATTTGCTAGGGCTGCCCTAACTGAGGTCAATTAATTAAATCAATTAAAACAATCAATTAAAAACAACAAGAAATTTATTCTCAGGGCTTCCCTGGCTGTCCCCCAGTTAAGACTCTGTGCTTCCACTACAGTGGGCGTGGGTTCGATCCCTCATTGGTGAACTAAGGTCCCACATGCTGCACAGCGTGGCCAAAAATAAATTAATTATTCTAAATTAAAAAAAAAATTTATTCTCTCAGTTCTGGAGGCTAGAAGTTCAAGATCAAAGGGTCGGCTCGCTTCAAAGGTACCAGGGAAGGATGTATTCCAGGTGTCTCTCCTGGCTTCTGGTAGTGCCTAGGCTGTGGCGGCATAATTCTAATCTTCTCATGGTGTCCCCCACTGTGTGCAAGTCGGTGTCCAAATCCCCGCTTTTTATAAGGACTCCAGTCCTGTTGGATTAGTGGCCACCTGGTGGCTCCACAGGTAAAGAATCTGCCTGCAATGCGAGAGCCGTAGGAGACGCAGGTCCAGTCCCTGGGTCAGGAAGATCCCCTGGAGGAGGGCATGGCAACCCACTCCAGTCTTCTTGCCTGGAGGACCCCCGTGGACAGAGGAGCTTGGCGCGCTACAGCCCCTGGGGTCGCAAAGAGCTGGGCACAGCTGAGCGACTCAGCATAGCACCCACAGCAGCTGCGTGCTCCAGAGTGACCTCATCTTAACCAGTGACGCTCGCAGTGACCCCGTCCCCAGACATTGTAACACCACAGTTCCTGGGGGTTAGCAGCTCCGTGTGTGAAGGTGGGGGATACACAGTTCAGTCCATCATGGAAGAGGGGTGCAGCGCCCCTCCCCCACAGCTCCCACCGTTCACCCAGTCCCGCTTCCTCCCAGGCCCCTGGGTCCTCCCCGCTGGGTGAGCTGGAGCAAACTCCAGGCATTGTCTCATTTTCTCTGTGACAAGGAAACAGATTCTTAAATACACATGTAGTCAACATTCAAGAAATGAAGTTTTTAAAAAAGATTTATTTATTTATTATTTAATTTATTTATTTGGCTGCACTGGGTCTTAGTTGCAGTTTGTGGGATCTAGTTCCTTTAGCAGGGATCAAACCCCGGCAGCTTGCATTGGGAGCGCGGCGTCTTACCCATCGGACCACCAGGGAAGTCCCGGGAAGTGGACGTTTTTGAGGCAGGGACGTGCCCATAGGAGCTCAGGAAACATTGGTTTGTCTCAGCAGAGGGCGGCCAAAGGTCTGCTACGAGGCCTTGGTTTTTGGAGGGAGTTGGCTTAGCTGGTAGTTACGCCAAAGTGTTTCTTCCACAGCTGGTATACACAGCAGTTGCTTAAGAAGCATCATTTAAAAAAACAAAAAGCGGCAGAGGCATAGAATAGGCACACAGAATTGTTTCTTTCTAGGGTTGAGATACGCAAGTCTCTCCTGAGACAACTTGGATACAGACAGTGAATTCTCCAGAAATTTATTTATTTTAAAATATTTTTAAAAATAAATTTATTTATTTATTTTTGGCTGTGCTGGATCTTGGTTGCTGTGTGGGCTTTGCCCCAGTTGCGGCGAGCGGAGGCTACTGTCTAGCTGTGGTGCTCAAGCTTGTCCTTGTGGTGGCTCCCTGTCGCGGAGCACAGGTTCTAGGGCTCACGGGCTGCAGTAGCTGTGGCTCCTGGGCTTAGCTGCTCCATGTCATGTGGGATCTTCCTGGACCGGGGATCAAACCTGTGTCTCCTGCACTGGCAGGCAGATTCTTTACCACTGAGCCACCAGGGGAGCCCCTGTTTATTTATTTGTCATTTTATTTATTTATTTTCGGTTGTACCATGTGGTATGCGCAGTCTCAGCGCAGACCAGGGATTGAACCCATGCCCTTTGCCCTGCGTTAACCACTGGGCCACTGGGGAAGTCCTGCAGATATTTATTTTTAAATGGGCAGGTGTACCCAGGAGGTGCGTGAAAACGTGACTTTATAAAGCTGATGCGTGTGATTTTTATCCCTTAAAATATTTATGTATTTAAACTTGCAAGAGAACATGAACAGCAGCATACATGATAGGTGTGTGATTTTTAAACAACTGGTGTACCCATGATGAGCTCAAATATTTCTGTATACAGGAGGTGCTAAAGACATGTTCACTTCACAGTAGGTGCTTGCACAATATCTAGTTTGTTAAAAATAATGGCTGTAGGTACAAAAAATATGCTGTAGCTCTCCTGCTAGGAGGTGTTCAGGAGGCATTTCATTGCCCAGTGGGGAAATGCCATGATTCTTAGGAACTTAATTTTTGCACAGCAAAGTATACAGTAGGTGCTCAACAGTAATACCCGATGCACCCGGAAGGCGCACAGAGATGTTTGCCAAATTTGTAATGTTCCCCAAGAACCTCTGTTTCTTTCCGTAATGTAATCATGCACAGGACGTGCGTTCTGATCCTTGGTGGAGTTGGGCCACCTTGGATGGGACGAAGATCATGATGGGGGGGCGGCAGGAGCAGCCAAGTACCCCCCAGCCCTGAGCGCCCCACCCACCTGCCCACAGCCTGCTCATCACCTCGCTTGGCCACATCAAGCTCACTGACTTCGGCCTGTCTAAGATTGGGCTCATGAGTATGGCCACCAACCTCTACGAAGGCCACATCGAGAAAGACACCCGGGAGTTCGTGGACAAGCAGGTGGGCAGTGCTGCCTCCCCCTGCCCAAAGCCCAGCCCCGGGCCGTGGGGAGACCACAGCACGAGGGAGTATATCAACGATGCCCATGATTCTGCCCACCCTTCCTTCCCCGGCGGGGAGCCATCCTCAGTTTCCCTGTCCCACCCGGCCCAGGTTTGCGGGACGCCAGAGTACATCGCCCCCGAGGTGATCTTCCGCCAGGGCTACGGGAAGCCAGTGGACTGGTGGGCCATGGGCGTCGTCCTCTATGAATTCCTGGTGGGCTGCGTGCCCTTCTTCGGCGATACCCCCGAGGAACTCTTTGGCCAGGTGGTCAGTGGTGCGTTCCCCACCCCGTGGCCCAGGTTTAATCCCCACTCTGGCTCTGCTCGCTGGGCCCTCTGCCTGTGTCAGGGAGGGGAGCAGCCCCATGTGTGGATGCATTGGGCACTTTTGGCATGCCAGGCCTGGCTGAGCACTGGAGATATAGCCAAGGGCAAGAGGGACAGTAAGGGAGATAAATAAGCCAACTATGGAGGGACTCGCCTTGTGGTCCATGGTTAAGACTCCACCTTCCTGTGCGGGTGTGGGGGTGGGGGGTGCGATGCCTCTCAGGGAACCAAGATCCCGAATGCCCCCTGGTGTGGCCCCCCCAAAAAAACTGTAGAACAATCAGACGCAAAAATGCAGAGGAGGAAAAGAAACAGGAAGAAGGGAAGGCGCGGGGTGGCAGGTGTAGGTGGTTAGTCACTCAGTCATGTCTGATTCTTTTGCGACCCTATGGATTGTAGGGCTCCTCTGTCCATGGGATTTTCCCAGGCAAGAATACTGGAGTAGGTTGCCATTTCCTCCTCCAGGGGCTCTTCCCAAGCCAGGGATTGAACCTCGGTCTCCTGGGTCTCCTGTATTGCAGTGGGGGGAAGCCCCAGGTGTGGGGTAGAGGAGCTGTATTAAAAGAGTCACAGAGAACATTGGGGGGACATGTGAGCAAAGTTTTAAAGGAACAAGAGGGAGCCACAGAGATGGAGGAAAGGAAGGTGCTCAAGGCAGAGAGCATGGCCAGAGCAAAGGCTGTGAGGGACCAAAGCTGGAATGCTGAAGGGGCAGAGCAGGCTGACAGCTTGGAGCGCAGAAAGCAGAAGTGCTAGGAGATGCTAGGAAGCGCTAGCCCCGCTTCCTCACTCCCTCCTCTCACTTCAGACGAGATCATGTGGCCAGAGGGAGAGGAGGCCCTCCCAGCCGATGCCCAGGACCTTATCACCAGGCTGCTCCGACAGAGCCCACTCGACCGCCTGGGCACTGGTATGTCGGTGTGGGTGGGCTGGAGGCTGGAGTAAGCATGAGCTCTATTTGAGAGGCTGCATAGAGGAGGGGGACTTGAAGCTGGGGTTTTGAAGGATGCGTATAAGCTCACTAGGAACTTGCATAAGACTTTGAGAGCAGCTGGGTCGAGTGCAGACCGGGGCACTGAGGCTGTGTGTGGCAGCCCGCCAGGTCACCTTGGGCTGTGTCCTAAGTTCCCCAAGGACCAGCTCAGTGGATCCCACTGTCCAGGTTTCCCCAGCCACCAAAATGGGGATAAAAGGATTATTTAATACTGATGCAGCCACCTAGTATGTGGCCACTACGGATCACTTTCAGGATGAAACTTAGCCGTTGGAGAGGACCACGAGGGCTGAGGTCGGGGAACAGGACACATTTGTGCAGTCAGCTCTGCTCCTTGGGGTAGAAACATGTGGAAAGGGGCCCCAGAAGGAATCTCTTCTGAGGTGCTGGCGTTTCTCCGGGTGTCGGGATCTCAGGATCCAGCCGAGGGAAGATCAGGGTCTAGGTTCTAGCCTTAGCTTGGTTCCCCTCCAGGCTCTTAAATGACGGCTATTTTCCCCTTCCATCTTTGTGGCTCTGCCCTGGCCAAGTTTGGGTTCATAACCGTCCCGAGGGGCTGTGGGGGTTGGGGACCAGCAGGGCTCAGCCGTCCGTGTCTGCAGGAGGCACCCATGAGGTCAAGCAACACCCGTTCTTCTGGACGCTGGACTGGGCCGGGCTTCTGCGTCACAAGGCCGAGTTCGTGCCGCAGCTTGAAGCAGAGGATGACACCAGCTACTTCGACAGTAAGCGGGGACCCAGGAGACGGGCTTTGCTGTCCCACCCTCTCCGAGGGCGGTAAGATGTCTCTGCCAGGGTCCCCATCCCAGCTCGATGCCTCACCCTGGGCCTGGAGCTGCTGACTTCCTGAGCTTTCCAGGACTCTGGGCATGTGTGTGCTGGCTGCCCCCCCAGCCCACCCCCCCACAGACACCCCTGCTAGGGTTTCCTTTGCACCTGAGCTCAGGTACTGCAGCACCCCCTCGGGTTGCGGGGGGGACACCAAGCTACTTAGGGTGGCAGACTGTTTCCTGGGATCCCCCAGCTGGTTCGGCCTCCTGAGTCTCAGCCGTGACCAGGCATGGAACCTTGCCTGTCACACAGGAGGGTGGGCTGCCTTGCTCAGCTTGGGTGGAGGGGGTCCCCTCAAGTACTTCAGGTGGGCTCAGACAAATCTCCTTCTCCCTACATGGGGCTCTGGCCAATCCCAGAGTAATGCCCTTGGCTTCCAGCGCCTCCTCCAGAACTGGATGTGTGACCTGGAGCATGTCAGAGGTCCTCTCTGAACATCTGTTTCCTTTTCTGTAAAATGAGGAACATCTTTTATGTTTGAGCTGTGCAGCGTTACCCAGCTCTAGGGGACCCATCTCAAGAGTGAGGAAACTGAGACACAGGAATTCCCATCCACGGCCCCACAACTTTTAGGGACACACCTGGGATTTATTCCCAGACACTAAATCTGCCAGGGCTTCCCTGATGGCTCACAGGTAGAAAATCAGCCTGCCAATTCAGGAGACATGGGTTTGATCCCTGGGTGGGGAAGAGCCCCTGGAGGAGGACACAACAGCCCACTCCAGTATTCTTGCCTGGGAAATCCCATGGACAGAGGAGCCTGGCGGGCTGCAGTCCATGGGGTTGTAAAGAGTCGGACACCACTGAGCAACCAAATCTGTCTTTAAACATACCGGGCAGCGTCCCACCCCAGTGCCTGTGCCCTGACAGTGTCTGCCTGCCCAGGAGCCCCCCCCACATCACCCCACAGCCCTGCGTCCACGCCAGGCCTCAGGTGGGCGATGCCTTTACCCCCTGTAGCCCGCTCGGAACGTTACCGCCACCTGGGCTCTGAAGATGACGAGACTAATGATGAGGAGTCATCCGCAGAGATCCCCCAGTTCTCGTCCTGTTCCCACCGCTTCAGCAAGGTGAGCCTGGGATCCTGGGTGTAGCTGGCACTCCGGAAACAGGGCAAGATGTTTGTTTGGAGTTGTTTTGATTCTTTTGGCTGCGTCAGGTCTGAGTTGCGGCATGTGGAATATTCATTGCAACCTGTGGGCTTTATCTCTAGTTGAGGTGCACGGGCTCAGCTGCTCACGGGTTTAGTTGCCCTGAGGCATATGGAAGCTTAGTTCCCCAAGTTGGGAATCAAACCCATGCCCCCTGCATTGCAAGTCGGATTCTTAACCACTGGACCATCAGGGGAGGCCTATTTGGGCTTTTTTTTTTTTTTAATTTTTGTTTCCATTGCAGTGAAATACATATAAACTATTTTAACTGTTTTAAACTGTACAGTCCAGTGACATTTAGTACATTCACAGTGTTGTGCAACCATCACAACATTTATCTGGTTCCAGAACATTTCCATCATGCCCAAAGGGCAACTTTGTACCTGTCTGCAGTCACTCCTTATTTCCCCCTCCCTCACCCCCACAACCAGTAATCTGCTTTCTGTTTCTGCAGGTAACATTTGCGTTTGTAACATCTGCATTTACCTGCTCTGCACATATCACATACATGATATGTGTATGTGACACACATCATGTGTCGCCCAGTCCAGCGTCCAGGAGAACGGGTGTTGCTTGACTTCATGGGTGTCTCCTGCAGACGCTGGCTGAGCCCTGCTGGTCCCCACCTGCCATGACCCCGTGGGCCAGTTATGAACCCAAACCTGGCCAGCGCAGAACCACAAAGATGGGAGGGGAAAACCAGCCATTGTTTAAGAGCCCTGAGGGGAACCAAGCTAGGGCTAGGACCTAGGCCCTGATCTTCCCTCGGCTGGATCCTGAGATCCCGACACCCAGAGAAACCCCAGCACCTCAGGAGGGATTCCTTCCGCAGCCGCTTTCCACATGTTTCTACTCCATGCATTCTGTGGGCTTTTGTGTCTGGCTGCTGCTGGTTTTTTTTTAATATTTATTTATTTGGCTGCGTGGGCTTTTAGTTGCAGTGCGTGGGATCTAGTTCCCTGACCAGGGACCAAATCTGCGCCCCCTGCATTGGGAGCTCAGAGTCTTACCCACTGGACCACCAGCCAAGTTCCTGGCTTTTTTTTTTTTTTTTTGCTTCCCTGCATGGCTGGTAGGATCTTAGATCTCCGACCAGGGATTGAACCCAGCAGTAATGAGAACTCGGGAGTCCTAACCACTGAATCACTAGGGAATTGGCTGTTTCTGGCTTCTTAAGACTGATCTATGTGATAGCGTGTCAGTACTTCACTCCTTGTTATGTCTGACTAATATTCCACTTTATGACTGGACCACAATTTTGTTTATCCACTCATCAGTTGATGAACCATCTTGTTTTTTTCCACTTTGGGGCAATTGTGAATAGACCTGCCATGCTGGGTGTTATTTTATAGCGTCATCAGCTTCACTTAAGTTCCTTCCTTTGTTTATAATTGGATCAAAAAACCTCCACAGTGACTTCCCTGGCAGTGCAGTGGTTAAGACACCAAGCTTCCACTGCAGGGGGCATGGGTTCAGTCCCTGGTGGGGGAACTAAGAGCCTGCATGCCATGCACCATGACCAAAAACCCCCCCAAAACCTGCACTGTTTATGGGCCTGGGCCCCACGGGCGGGAAACTTCAGCTGTGGCCCCTTGGTAACCAGGCCTGTCAAGCCTCAGTCCTCCGTCTGTACAGTAGGCTAAAGACACTGTGTCTTTAAAGAAGTGGTGAGAAAGGATTTGAGGAAATGACTCAGAAGCGTTGGGCATGTAGGAAGTACTCAACTAAGCCATCCCCCAGGGATGCAGTTGTTGTGACTGTTATTTTTAATTGCTTCCCAGGTCTATAGCAGCTCTGAGTTCCTGGCCGCCCAGCCCACCCCAACTTTCGCTGAACGGAGCTTCAGTGAGGACCGGGAGGAAGGGTGGGAACGCAGCAACGAGGGGGACTATGGGCGCCGGCTGAGCACCACCGAGGTCCGGTAGGTGGGCTGGGGAGTGGCGCCACCAAGCCTAATATTGGAAAGAGCTGCCCAGTGGCCCAGTAGAAAAGGGTCAAACACATTGGCCAGCCTGTCAGACCCCTGCCAGCCTGGCCTCTATCATCACTCCCTGTGGATTTGCGTTCCTAACCACACTGCAGGTCAAGGCAGCCATGCACCGTCACGCTGGTCGGCTTTTGCTTGCTTCCTCTGCCCAGAATGCCCTTTGCTCCTGCTCACAAAGCCTCGTTCATCTGTCAGAGTCCAGACTCAACACGAATGATCAATATCTGCTTGAGGAGGGGTATTGGAAGCTGGGTTTTAAAAGACGAATAGGAGTTTTCTGGGCAGTCACAGAGGATGGAGCACTCACTTTGTCTTTACAGACTACCTCTGACTCTAGGCTGAGGGTTAAGATGCAGCCACTAGGGGAGACTGGGTGCTCTGGGGTGAGGGCATCTGGCAAGTGTGACGCAGGCTCTTCCCCACTACAGGCTGAGATCCTGCACATCTTCTGGTTCATCTTGCCACTCATCCTCCTCCCAGCCTGAGCGGGGCCCCAGCCCATCTCTCCTGAACACCATCAGCCTGGACACAATGCCCAAGTTTGCCTTCTCATCAGAGGATGAGGGAGCTGGCCCTGGTCCTGTGGGCCCCAAAAGGCCCATCTTCATTCTGGGGGAGCCCGATGCTCCCCCAGAAGCCACCCCAGTGATACCCAAGCCCTCCAGCCTTTCTGGTAGGTAGAATCCAGGATGGGAGGGGTAGTCTTATGGCAAATTTCCCACAGGAGGGACTATTTAAGATGAGTTTTAAAGGATGAGTAGGAGTTCTCCAGAGAGAACAGTCATTGGCTAACAAAGGCCTCAGTCTAGGGATGATACCCTCAGCTTCAGTGGATCAGGAGAGAGGAATTGAACTGGGGAGCTCTGAGAGTGGGAGTAGGGATCTAACTGGAGTGAGGGGAAGGCTTCGTGAAGGAGGGGACCTGAAGAATGGAGCTTCCCAGGGAGAGCAGTGCAGGAAGGGTGTGCAAGAAAAGGGAACGGCCTGTGTAACAGCCAGGAGACTGGATTGTGTGCACGCTGACCAGGAAGGAAGGGGCTTTGCCTTCTGAGGTCAGAAGGGCCACATGGTAAGCTGGAGGGTGGGGCAGACTAATCCTCGACGCTGTTGTCCCTCACAGCTGACACCGCCGCCCTCAGCCATGCGCGCCTGCGAAGCAACAGCACCGGTGCACGACACTCCACGCCACGGGCCCTGGATGCCGGCCGGGGCCGCCGCCTCGGGAGCTCGAGGGACTCTGCCCCGGAGAAATCCAGGACCTCCCCCAGCGGAGGCCGTGTGCCCAAGTCAGCCTCGGTGTCTGCCCTGTCGCTCATCATCACCACAGGTAACACCCATGGCCCAGCCTTGTCTTGGCGTGCCTGCCCACGTCCATTTTTAACCACAGGGTGGAGGCAGTTTTGGCCGGAGGTGGCTGGCAGGGGTCCTTCCAGGTGATGTGGGGGCTGCTGTTGAGGGCTGAGCCCGGGAGAGGGGAAGCAGCAGGGGAGGGGCTGGCATTCTTGGCAGTGGGCACTGCACGTGCCAAGACTCGAAGGGGAGGGAGAAGGTGTCTGGGGGCACTGCAGCAGCAGCAGAGCTGCCAGAGTGATCAGTATGGGAATCCCCTGATGGTCCAGTGATTAAGACTCTCTGCTCCACTAGAGGGGGCATGGTTCCACCCTTGGTTAGGGAACTAAGATCCTACAGGCCGCGTGGTGTGATCAAAAAACGGAAACATTAAGCAATCAGTGTGGAGGGGGAGGGGAAGGTGCCTTGTGAGGGGTCCCCCAAGGCAGTGACCCCCTCCCTGAACCTTGTCCCTGCAGATGATGGCAGCGGTGGCCCCCTCATGAGCCCCCTGTCCCCACGCTCACTGTCCTCTAACCCATCGTCCCGCGACTCCTCTCCAAGCCGAGACCCTTCCCCTGTGTGTGGCAGCCTGCGGCCGCCCATCGTCATCCACAGCTCAGGCAAGAAGTACGGCTTCAACCTGCGGGCGATCCGCGTCTACATGGGCGACAGTGACGTCTACACCGTGCACCACGTGGTGTGGGTGAGTTGGCCCTGGGATGGGCAGGAACAGCCGGGCCTGGTTGGAGTCCGCGCTGCCCTGGTGCGGGGGGCTTCCCTTGCGGAGCTGCGTTTGTTAGTCTGGGAAAGCAGGGAAACCAGGCAGCGTGGAAGCATCAGCTTGCTGGGGGCCCAAGGCTGACTCAGTTGGGCTGGGGTCTCTTGTCTGTGGGGCCTGGACCACTGACCCCCTGCTACCCCCACCCCAGAGTGTGGAGGAAGGAAGCCCCGCCCAGGAGGCAACCCCTGGTCCATCCTCAGAGCACCCTGATCTCCCCGCCCTGATCCTGTAACCCCCATCCCCTCCCCTTTGTCTCAGCTGCAGATTCTGTGTGGTTCTCCCCCTCCAACCACAGTATTCCACTTGGGCCCTGTATTCCTCCTCCCCTCTGCTTCCTTCTCTTTTTCTTTCTTCTTTTTTATTTTTTTTGGCCAAGTGGCATGCGGGATCTTAGTTCCCTGAACAGGGATCACACCCGCACCCCCTGCAGTGGCATTGCAAGTCCTAATCACTGGACAGCCAGGAGAGTCCCGGCTTCCTTCTTTAGCCCCCTTATATCACCCCTCTTAGCCACTCCTCCAGGAAACCCCCTGGGGCCCCACTCCTGACCTTCCCTCTGGCCCACCTTGACCCTGCGGGGGTGGTATCTGTGCCATCTTTGCCTCTGGCCTCCTCAAGGGCTGAGGCCCAGAGGAGGGAAGGTGGGCACAGGTGAGGAGGCAGGCCGCTGACTGGATAGCTCCTGGGACCAGTGGGTGAGTCGGTGGCTCATTGGATGGATGGACAGATGGCACACATCCATCTTTGGCCCAGTGAGTGGGGAGGTCATTAGTTGAAAAATGGGTGGTTAGGATCCAGGGCTTTTGATGGACGAGTAGGTGGGTGGAGGGCTCACTGGCTAGGAGGCACACTGGCGACCCTTCGCCATCATTCCTGCAGAGTGGCAACAAGATCGCCCTTCGGACCACAGCGCTGGAGAACACGTCCATCAAGGTGGGCCCCGCCCGGAAGAACGTGACCAAGGGCCGCATGGCGCGCAGGAGCAAGCGGAGTCGCCGGCGGGAGACTCAGGACCGGTGAGCGGTGGGCCGGCCCCCGCAGGGCCTGATGCGGGAGGCAGGACCGGTGAGCAGGGGGCCGGCCCCCACGGGGGCTGATGCGGGATGCACCACGTGCTTGGGCAGTCCTGGGCACAGGGGTGGGACTTGTGAAGAATCTGGTTTCTAACCCCTAGGCGGAAATCGCTCTTCAAGAAGATCTCAAAACAGTCCTCTGTGCTGCACACCAGCCGCAGCTTCTCCTCCGGTCTCCACCAGTCCCTGTCGTCCAGTGAAAGCCTCCCAGGCTCCCCCACCCACAGCCTGTCCCCCAGCCCCACCACACCCTGCCGCAGCCCGGCTCCCGATGCCCCAGCAGGTGGGTGCACACCCCAGGACCACCCTGGGAAGAAGGGCCACACAGGGCTGCAGTGGTTGGCCCAGGGAGGGGGTCGAACAGAGTTGGAAGGATGGAGTGACATGATGAATGACAGCCTCAAAGGCAGCCTGGAGTGGGCAGGGCAGGTGTAAGGGCAGGGAAGGGTGTGTCCAGCAGAAGGGAACATCATAAGCAAAGGAGATCTAGACAAGAGGGATGTGAAAGCTAGAGGGAGGCTAGGGAGAGGGGATTGGGGGATGGATCAAGCCAAAGAGCTGGGCTTAAATGGGGCGGGGGGGGGGCAATAGGGAGCCACAGAGAGTGAGCCAGAGAGGATATGGAAGGATAGTTCTAGAGCAGGAAAGGATGGTGACTTCGTTCAACCCTGAGGTTCCCCAGTCTGTGAGAGACAGCCGGAGATGGACACCCCTATTTCCACTGGGTTAACATCAGTCTAGAGGGAGAGAGGCTGGGGCAATCCACAGAGAAGGAAGGCATCCTAGAGGAGAGCCACAGAGCTGCTCTCCCAGGAAGCCCGCCCTGCCTTCTGAGGAACCCACTGCTATCTCTCCCTCTAGCCTACCCTGACCTCAAGGGGCTGGGGGTATCTGGGCCATCTTTGCCCTCCTTAGACCAGACATCCTCTGAGGCTGAGGCCTAGGGGTGGAGAGTGGGTACAGGCAGAGGCAGGGCCCTTATTGGATAACTTCCTGAACCAGTGGGTGGATGGCTCATGGGATGGACGGATGGACAATGGACAGGTACCTTTGGCCAAATGATTTGGTGGAACATTTAGATAAGAAGTGGGTGAAAAGGTGCTAGGGCTTTGATGAATGAATAGGAGTTTACCAGATCTAAGCCAAAGGCAGAACCTGTGCAAACAAAGGGAAGACCAGGCCTGATAGGTGACCACATGCCTGGAAGTGATGTGGGCTTTGCAGTCAGTCCCAGGGCCCCACCTCAAGGCTGGGACATTGAGACTGGTGGCCTGACTCTCCCCTGTCACCCACAGACACAGCGTCTCCACCCAGCATATCCCCAAGCTCCAGCAGCCCTGCATCTCCAGCTGCCGCTGGCCACACCCGCCCCAGCTCCCTGCACGGCCTGGCCGCCAAGCTCGGGCCACCTCGCCCCAAAGCCGGCCGCCGCAAGTCCACCAGCAGCATCCCGCCCTCCCCGCTGGCCTGCCCACCTGTGCCCGCGCCCCCACCCCGCTCACCCTCACCCCTGCCAGGGCACCCACCCGTGCCTGCCCGATCCCCAAGGCTGCGCCGAGGCCAGTCAGCTGACAAGCTGGGTACAGGTGAGCGACTGGACGGGGATCTGGGGCGCCGCAGCCGCGGGCCGGACTCTGAGCTGGTGATCATGCGACGGCTGCATCTGTCTGAGCGCCGAGACTCCTTCAAGAAGCAAGAGGCCGTGCAGGAGGTGAGCTTTGATGAGCCACTGGAAGAAGCCACTGGGCCACCCACCTTGGTGCCGCAGATTGCCGTGGAGGGTGCTGAGGCTGTGTCAGGAGCCTTTGGACCCTCTGGGAAAGACTAATCTACCTGGCCTCCCCCTGGCCTGGCAGTCAATGCGTTTTCCGTGGAATGTGTTTTCCATAACTGACACCCGGATGGAGAGTGAGCCACCAGCCTTTGACACCTGAAAGAAGAGAAGCCACCGCAGATCTTGGCGGAAGGCGGAGACAGTGCCTCCTTCGTGTTTTGGAGCTGGTCGATCAGGGGCCCGTAGGGGCAGGAATGGGAGACCAGGGCGGCATTGTAAATAGCAGCAAATCCCTGCAACTAATTTATTACTTTTTATAAGCGATAGTCAGACTGAGTCGCCACCCTTAAGGCGGCTGCCCGGGTCTTGCCCCAGGCACCTGGGACCCATTTGTAAACCCTGCCCACCTGGGCTGAGAAGGAAGCACTTTGGACAAGTCAACACGTGTTCGTGTTTTATGGTTTTCTGTTCTTTTAAAGTTTTGTATGTGTGTGTTACTCTATCCCATCCCTGACTCAAGACCCATACATTTGAAGGGATGCAGCCTAGCTTATCAGTCCAGGCCCAGTTTGGATGACTTGGAGAGTCTGTAAACAATTCCCCTCCACCACAAAACAAAGTAATTCTGGTGATGGACTGGATTCTGCAGGCTACTTCCCACCATCATGGCCTCCATCTCTCGGCCAGCCTTGCTAGAGTCTGCCTCCAGTCCTATAGGCTTAGGGGTTGTGGGAACTAGGGCTTCGATGTATGAGTAGAAGTTCACTAAACATAGACAGAGGAGTCATCCACCTCACAGGCAGACACTGTGCCCCAGGAGGCAGAGGCCTCAAAGGGCACTGCCAGTAGGGGAAGAATGTCCACCCTGGACACAAGGTTTTTTTGTATTTGATGCCTACCAGGGTGAGAACTTGACCATGATGTGTCTGAAACACCCCCTGGGAAGTGCCCTCGATATGTCAGAGCCTTGTTGGGATGGAATCTGAATAAGAAAATCCAACTGGGGGCAGTGAGGCCCCAGTTGAAATCTTGGCTTCACTGGCTCTGGGAAAATGGCTTCCCCACTCTGTGCCTCAGTCTCCTTGTGTTTACAAAACTAATACTAATGACTATTTATTAAGCACCTACTGTATGCCAAGCGCTTTTACTTGTGGCTTCTCCCTCAGTCAGCCTTGAGAAGGCTGGAGGTAGTGTTGTCCTCCCCATAACTAAGGCCTGGCAAGGGGTGGAGACATGCCCCACGCTTTCCTGGTAAGAGTCATGCAGCCAGCCCCTGTCCTGGGCATTGTCAAGGGAGCTGTGGAGAATCTGTTGTCAGATACAGCAGACTCCAGCTCCAACCCTCTCCCCTGAAATGCTGTGTGACCCACCGGGCATCTCAGAGCCTCCGTTTTCATTGGGAGATGGCTAACATGACGGCTGTGTCCCACATGACAAGGGCACTTTGCAGGCTCTGGAGCCCACTCTGCGTTCCTTCCGGAGACACCCACACAGCACTGCCTGGTGGTGGAGCTAGATCAAGGCTGTGCATGACTTTTGCTCCCGCCTTCCATCCTGGAGCTGACAGTGAATAAAAGCTCACATTTACAAAGAGGAGGTCCGATGTCTGGATTTCTGAGGGGCCGAGAAAAGGGTAAGGGAAGAGTGGGGTGGGGGTGGGATGAAAATAGACCCTTGACTCAAAGTCGCCCGAAGTGGGTTTTGAAGGCTGCTGGGAGTTGACCATTGAGATCCTTCTTGATGCCTTCTCTGATCCAGAGCTCCTGCTACCCTCTCCCGATTGAGTACCTATCATGGGCTCTGTCCCTAAAAGCTTCATACAGACACCGTCTGGGCCTTGAAGCTGTGATAATAAAACAAACCATCTCTGTGACCTTTTTATACTGGTCTTCGCTTGGGCTGTGCCCTAAAACTTCCTGCATCGCGTCGGAACCCAGCCTGAGCACGTCCAAGTTACTTCTAAAGTATTCGGAAAGGTCGGAAAGCTTTGGCCACGCCCCTTGTTTCCGAGTGTTTTCGGCTATTTCCGGAAGCAGTCGTACGCCTGTGAGCCCGCATTCCGATAGTTCTCCCCGCCCGCGAGTTAGTTCAGTGGTTTCTAGACGCTGTGGGCTACCATGGAAACCCCGGCTTTGAAGCCTGATCCCTTCTCGGCCCTCAGCTTGTTTCCTAAAAAGCTCAGCTTTCTGTGGCGAGCCCCTTCCCGCTAAATGCCACCTTCAGTTCCTTGAGCTCAGGGCCACCTCACTTGCTCTCGGGAGCCGTCCCTGCCTCGGCAGTTTTCGGAAGTTGGGTAGTCGCCTAGGGATCTAAGTTCTCAGGGCCTCATTTGGGGCCAAGCACACTTGGCTCTTCCCAGTAAGTTTCCGAAGTTTCGGGGCCCAGTCTGTTTTGCGGGTCCGGCTGGAGAGCGTTCGGCCTTTTCCGGAATCTCGGGCATCTCTGTACAGCCGAGCTTAGCCGAGTCCAGCCTCCGAATGACTCATCTGACCCGAATGTGCTCGTCTGTTTCCGGAAATGATCGGCTGTCTCGGGGCACGTTCCCCCAACGTTAACCTCCAGTCCCGCGGGAGTACGTTCGGCTCTTCCCGGAAGCACTCGGGCGTCCTCTGGCCAACCCTCGGCTCCAGTGCACCCGCCCGACCCGAATGCACTCGGCCGTTTCCGCCGGGGGGCGGGCCCGACCATTCGGAACCGCGGCGGCAGCAGCGGAGGCGGGGATCCCGCGGCTGCGGCGACGGCGGCCGCGGTGAAGCCACGGGTCTGGCTCGGTTCGGCGTGACGGTGGTCGCGGCGGCAGCGGTGGCGGCCACGACCAGGTAAGTGCGAGCTGTCCGCGTGGCAGGCCAGGTTGGGGGTGCGCTCAGATGCGGGGCGCCCAGGCAGAGTGTGGGGCCGCGGTGGAAGCCGGAACGCGAGCAGGGCTGCATCGGGCCCCGCGGGAACTGGGGGCCGCAGGGAGCGGGAGGCCTCGGGCTCGACCTGGCTCTGGTGCAGCCTGCCCTGGAAGATGTGGGTGGAACAGCGAACTGTAGGCAGAAATAAGGGGTTGGAGCCGCGGCCCTGAATTGAGGGAGGCCCTGCCGGGAGTGGGGCGTCGAGCAGTAAAGAGGGGGCGCCCAGGCATTGTGTAGGGCATAGTGGGGTGGTGGGGTGCAAGACGGTGGAGGGTAGACTGCGCTTCCGGCCCCCGAGCTGGGCTTCGGGGTCCACACAGGCCCGAGTGCGCGTCTGCACACGCGTGAGCGCGCAGGCCCTGCGTCCCCCGCCAAGCCCCCAGCCAGGCCTGGCCCCTCCACCCCGCCTCTTGGATTCGGGGAGCGCTGGTTCCCAGGCGCGCACACCGGGGCGTGTGCAAACGTGTGCACGGCGGGGCGCGGAGGCGGGCAGGCAAGCGGATTCTGGTGGTTTTCTGGACGTCCCTGTCGCTGGGCCTCAGTTTCCCCACCTGTAGAATGGGGGCCCAGGGGCCAGGAGCAGATAAGTTGGGGCGTCCTGTAATGTGGAGCTTGTGCCCAGTACTTGGACACCTCTTACGGTTCCCCGTGGTCGACGGATAAAGCCTGACCCCCTACCTGGCACCCAAGGCCCTGCATGGCCTGTGTCGTTCTTAAGGCCGCCCTGAACTCTTGACAAGCATTTCTTGCTGTCAAGCCTTTGCCTGTATTAGTCCTTCTGACCAGTGCTCCTCCTGTCCTCTATGAGGACCTGCCTTTTGGAAAAGCTCCGTCCCCCCACCCCACCCCACCCCCAGTCTCTCAGGAAGATCCAACCTGCAGGGCCATGAGTGAGAATGTGACTGTGCTGGGCTGTGTCTCGCGAGATTGGTGATCCTTGGGGGTGATCATTGCCCCCTGCATAGAGCAGCCACCCCCTTGGCAGCTGCAGTGCCCTCCTTCCTTCTGCCCTTTCCCAGCTCCATGTCTGTTCTGGGGCTAAGGTCCTCTTGGCCTCCCACCAACCCTCTTCTGTTTTAAGTACCTACTGTGGGCCTGAAGCTGAGACCTGTCAGGAACGCCCCTGCCTTGTTCTCCCCCCACAGAGATCAGAGATCCATTTGCTTGGACTCACAGATTATGACTTCTGCTTGGACTTCATTCCCTATCCCTTTTGACCCCTACTGCCTCTTACTGTGCTCAGCCATCCCAGCCCCTGCTCAGGGCTCCACAGCACACTGAGCATCGTCACCCATTACGCCCTGAGCATTCAGGGTTTAACTGGCCATTTGGGATGGATGCATCCTGGGCCTTGTGAAACTGGGCAGCTCTGAGCTTTTCAGTCCTGGCTTCCTGGCCCAATGAATGGTCCAACAAAGACCTGCCTACTCTGAGCCTTAGTTTCCCCATCTCTTAACAGGGGCGAAGAAGAGCTTGTTTACTGAACTTGCAGTATGCCCAGGGCAGATTCTTGGGAGCTCTGCCCCCAACAACCCCAAGGGAGGGCTATTCACCCATTTTACAGCTGGGGAAACGGAAGCCCAGAGAGGTGCAGGGACTGACCCAAGGGTACCCAGTTAGTCAGGGGATTCCAACCTGGGATTTGGGTTCAGCTCTGAGTTGAGGGTGGCAGGAGTTCAAACCGACTCATGCCCCACCCCTCTCCCCCTAGGTTGGTGTCCCGAGCCGAGCATGGTGACAGCCTGTGCCCTCGGCCCCCTCGCCTGGCGCAGCTGGAAGAGCCGCCAGCCTCGGGAGCCGATGGCCCCCCACGTGAGGGAGTGAGCAACCTGGCCCCGCCCTACGGATTGAGGGGGGACGCAGCAGCTGAGTGACCTGAGATCAGGCTGCCGACCCCCTCCCACCAGTTGACGAATGGTGGAACAAGCAACGAGGGACCCTTGTTAGGGTCTTGAAATAATGGTGGGAAGCAAAGCGTGAGCATCCCGTGGTCACCTGTAACTTCTTGGCGGAAATCGAAGCCTGAGTCCCCAAGCCCGCCCCGTGGACCCTCCCGGCCCCCCACCCCGGGCTGATGGGGCCACTGGGGCCCCAAGCAGCCACCTGACCATCCAGACCCCACCCTGCCAGCCATGGCTGGCCCTGAGGGCTTCCAATACCGTGCGTTGTACCCTTTCCGCCGGGAGCGGCCGGAGGACCTGGAGCTGCTTCCGGGTGATGTGCTGGTGGTGAGCAGGGCCGCCCTGCAGGCGCTGGGCGTGGCCGAGGGCAACGAGCGCTGCCCGCAGAGCGTCGGCTGGATGCCTGGCCTCAACGAGCGTACCCGGCAACGCGGCGACTTCCCTGGCACCTACGTGGAGTTCCTGGGGCCTGTGGCCCTGGCCCGGCCTGGCCCTCGCCCACGAGGCCCCCGCCCACTGCCCGCCAGGCCCCGAGATGGGCCCCCTGAGCCAGGTGAGCAGCAGATTGGGCCCCAGGCAGGGACGAGGGAAAGCGGGAGTGCCCTCAGACCCTCAGTTTCCTCTTCCTTCCCATGAGGTGCATCTCCCCGGAGAGGAGGAATAAGGCTATCTGATTGGTTGGCAGGTATCAATCACATTGCGAGGGAGGGCTGGGTGCAGTTCGTGGCTGGGCACCCAGAAGCGGACACACTGGCCCCGCCCTGCTCTCACAGGGCTTCTGGTTCAAGAGGTGTGAAGAAGGTGATTAAGTGATGACAGATGCGAAGAGAAAGAAGCCTCTCGGAGAGTAGGGGGAGAAGGCAGCAGGCATAGCAAAGACAAAGGCCCTAAGGGAATGTCACAGCAGGTTCAGGGAACCAGCCCTGACAAGTGGAGCAGAGTGAGGAAGGGGCCGGGTTGGATTTCTTGGGGTTGATTTTGAAGACAATAGGGAGTGTCTAGTAAGATTCAGAGGCTCAATGTAACTTCATTTTGTGGTTTGCAGATGGAATCCCTTGAGAAACCCCCCCCCCTTTGTTGTAACCCTGGTTTTCTGATTTCCAGAACGATGGGAGCCAAAAAGCCCAAAGGTGGGCTACTCAGTCGAGGCCACATAACGCAGTGGCATGTGAGGATGAGCCATCCCTTTCAGAGACCCTCGGCCACCCCTTACTCCAAAGAGCATGCTGGGAGTGGAGAACCAGGGCACTGAACACACGTTGTGACTGCACGCCGGGCTGTATGCTGGGCAGGGAAACTGAGGCACAAGTTGTAGGAAGGAGGCTGATGAGTGCTAAGCACCCAGCATGGTCTGCTTTGACACTCGGTGGCCCAGCGTGGCCCCGTGTACACATGGGGAGAACAAGGTGCCAGGGAGTCGGTCAAACCACTCACTCAGGGAGTCGCCCAGTGAAGGCCAAAGCCTTGAGAGGCACCGCGGCCCCACCCGGTGGCCCGGCCGGGTCTGTGCCCAAGGGACTCTGATGCCCAAAGAGGGTCAGCCCAGAGCCCCCACAGCGTGGTGTGGGATGGCGGGGTGCCGAGGTGGCATGCTGCAGGCTTGGGCTTTGCAGCATCTGGTGTCTCCAGGGCCTGTGCCTGCGTCCCGCCTCAGCCTGGAGGAGCAGGAGGCGGCCCCATCCGGGCTCCCCGCCAGAGTCTGCCTCTCCCCCTGGTAACAGCCGCCTCCCTCCTCTGCTTGGCCTGGGTCCAGCCACCACACACATCCCCACTCCCAGGCGGCCACCCAGCTCCGCCCTCCCAATCTCCCAGGGCCACGTGACATGGGCTAGGACCAGCCCTCTCCAGGCCTCAGTCTCCTCATCTGGAAATGGGGGGTATTGGTCCTTTTGTTCAAGCCCAGACCCTCCGAGGACCACTAGGCACCACGCTGCAGCTGCCTGCCTTCCCTCCACACAGCTCCGCACGAGGAGCCGTGTGCCGAGCCTTGGTGTCACTGGGGCTCCCGCCGGCCTGTGCATCTAGGGGAGGTTGCTCTTTTCCCGAACCTCGGCTTCTCATCTGTAAAATGGGGGGTGACGCCTATTCTAATGGGATCTCCCTCCCTGCGTTGCAGACAGGCAAATTTCAGAGTGGAGTTTCGGAACTGTGGCCCCCTTACCAGCTGGATGTCACCCACCTCCCCTTGTTTGCTCTTTTTTTTTTTTTTTTCATTTTTGACACAGCTGGGCCTTTCTGCAGCTCAAGCACCACCTGGCCCATCACTCAGGGAGGCCCCACAGGCCCTGGCTTGCCCCTGCTGTGTGCCAGGGCGTCCCCGCCAAGGGCCAAAGCTGCATCAAATGGTGGCTGTGCCGGCAGAGAGCGCCTGAACACAAAAGGTTGGGTGGGGCGAGACGTGGGGCCAGGAGGGGGCTGGGACAGGGAAAGGGGTGACCATTTTTAAAAGGGGGGACATTGTTTTTTTTTTTTTTAAAACAAAATGACTTAGAAAAAGGAGAAATTTTCTTGGGATGAGATGTCCTTACCCCCATGAGATATTTTCCTTGTATTCTTTTCAACTGCTTTGTTGTTCCTGCTAAGAAAGGAGGGATGAGGCATTGACCAGTTGCCCAGTTGCAGGATCTGAGGCACAGAGAGGGTAGGTCCTGTGCCGGAGGTTGCCCAGCAGGCAATGGCAGAGTCCTAACCCTGCTGCATGAGTTCCTGTGGCTGCTGGAATGAACTACCACACACCAGTGGTAGTTCAAACAACGGGAGCATGTTCTCTCGTGGTTCTAGAGACCAGAAGTCTAAGACCAAGGTGTGGGCAGGACTGTGCTCTCTCCAGAGACCTTAAGGGAGCAGCTTTCCTTGCTTCTTCCAGCTTTTAGGGGTTCCAGGCATACCTTGGTTTATTGCTACATCACCCCAATCTCTGCCTCTCTCTTCAGATGGCCTTCTCTTATAAAGACACCAGTCCTTGGGTTTAGGACCCTTAATCCAAGATGGTCTCATTGTGAAATCCTTATCTTAATTATACCTGAGAGATTAGAAAGTGGACATCCCATTTGGTTGACACTGGTCAACCCACTCCACCTCATGTCTAAAGTTGTGTGAACTGATATTTTAACCCAGAACATTGTTTCCCACCAACTCAGCCCTCCCAGCTCCACCACCTGGGCCTTCTGTCTCCCCCAGGGTGTTGATCCAGATGCCAGGCCCTTGGGCTGAGATGCAGCAGGCAAAGATGGGGCTGGGGTCCTTCTAGGGACCCTGCCAACACTGTGTCCCCTCCTGCCAGGCCTTACACTCCCTGACCTACCCGAGCAGTTCTCCCCCCCTGATGTGGCTCCCCCTATCCTGGTGAAGCTGGTGGAGGCCATTGAACGGACAGGTGAGCCTTGACCTGGCTGCAGCCCCTGGATTCTGCTTGCTCACCTCTGGGGATGGGCAACTCCTCCTCTTCCCTGGGCTCAGGTTGCATGGAGAGGCTGAGTCTGGATGCTCTGGGTCTCCATGTTGAGTTGGGGAAGGAGTAACTCCCTAGGGAATGTGGACCCCTTCATAGCATGTGCCATGCCCCTGCTACCATTTCCCTCCCTTACCTCTGGGAGGTTGAGTAGCCACCCCAGACCCCACTTGGGGTGGGGGCAGCATTTAAGAGCTGGCCTTGGCACCTAGGGTGGCCCTGACCTACCCCATCCCTTCCCCCCAGGGCTGGACAGCTACAGGCCTGAGCCACCCGCCGTGCGCACAGGTGAGGGCAAGCTTCAGTGGGTGAGAGTGGGAAAGGAGCCTGCCCTGGCCGGATGCGTCCCCTCTCTGCGCCCGCCTTGGACCGAGGTATTCCCCTTGCACCTGCAGACTGGTCCCTGAGTGATGTGGAGCAGTGGGATGCAGCAGCCCTGTCAGATGGTGTGAAAGGCTTCCTGCTGGCGCTGCCGGCGCCCCTCGTGACACCCGAGGCCGCGGCCGAGGCACACCGAGCCCTGCGGGGTAAATCTGGCGGGAAGCCCAGGAAGGCATTGGGGCAGGCTGGCGCAGGCCCTGACTCACCCTCCCCCTGGCCATCTGTCCGCAGAGGCTGCGGGGCCCGTGGGGCCGGCGCTGGAGCCCCCGACACTGCCACTGCACCATGCGCTCACGCTGCGCTTCCTGCTCCAGCACCTGGGCCGGGTGGCCCGGCGCGCCCCAGCCCCGGGACCAGGGTGGGGTCTAGAAAGGAGAGCGGAGTGTGGATGAGGGCCCCATGGGGAAGAGGCCAGAGCTGTCGTGATGGGCGGGCTAGGAAAGATAACGGGGGGTGAGACTTGAGCTCCAAGAAGACTCCATCAGGGCTTGGGACAAGGCGAAGGGGCTTGGACCAGAGAGCAGGCAAGTGGATTGTGTCTGTACCTCCTCTCTGCGTCCCCACCCCACGTGCTGGACTCCTGGTGTTAGTTGTATGAGCACTTGCCCATCCCTTGCTGCATATACAGAAACAGTGGTGGGTCTCCCACGCCTGCCCGCAGCATCTACTCTTCTCCCACTCGCGTGCTTTCACACGTACCCCCTGCCAGGTGTGCAAGCGCACACCAACACTCACCACACTCCCCTTCCCCCAGGACCGAGCCCACCCCCGACTTTCCTGCGCTGCTGGTGGAGAAGCTGCTTCAGGAACATCTGGAGGAGCAGGAGGTGGCCCCTCCAGGTGACCCCCACCCCCTTGGATTAGCTCTTATTGTTGGGGATGAGAATGCCGACTCGGGGCCCTGCCAGTATCAGCAGGCTCAGTTGCCAGGGGAGCTCACCCTGGTATACAGTTGGTGCTCAATGCGTATTTGTTTTCTTGTCCCCCAGCACTGCCACCAAAACCCCCCAAGACAAAGCCAGCCCCCACAGGCCTGGCCAATGGGGGCAGCCCGCCCTCCCTGCAGGATGCCGAGTGGTACTGGGGTGACATCTCCAGGTAGGACTGCTGGGCAGGGCCACAGAAGCCGAGGGGCAGGGTCTCCCAATGGGCCGCCCCCATCCTGGCTGTCTCCACAGGGAGGAGGTAAACGAAAAACTCCGGGACACACCTGATGGCACCTTCCTGGTTCGAGATGCCTCCAGCAAGATCCAGGGAGAGTACACGCTGACCCTCAGGTGGGGGCCTGTCGCTTCAGGGAGACCAGGGCTGAGGGGTGGGAGGGAGGACACTCAGGTCAGAGGACTGGGGGTCGCACAGGCAGTGGGACACGTGTTGGATCTGCTGCTGGGCACTGACGCCCTCTCTTACCCACCCCTAGGAAAGGCGGAAACAATAAGCTGATCAAGGTCTTCCACCGAGACGGGCACTATGGCTTCTCAGAGCCGCTCACCTTCTGCTCCGTCGTGGACCTCATCACCCACTACCGCCACGAGTCCCTGGCCCAGTACAACGCCAAGCTGGACACACGGCTTCTCTACCCAGTGTCCAAGTATCAACAGGTCGGGGGCTGGGGTGGGCGCTGGGGGTGGGGGTTGGTGGTGCCCGGCTGGCACTGGGCCTCAGTTTCCCAGGTAGCTTGCCTGATGGCCCCGGGTATTCCCAGGACCAGATCGTCAAGGAGGACAGCGTGGAGGCGGTGGGTGCCCAGCTCAAGGTCTACCACCAGCAGTACCAGGACAAGAGCCGCGAGTACGACCAACTCTACGAAGAGTATACGCGCACCTCCCAGGTACCACGGGCAAACACACCCCAGGGAGGCCTAGGCACGGAGGGCAGTGCTCAGGTCACAGGGCCAGACGTCCACTTCTAGGTCACAGAGCAGGCTCTTAGCACCAGGCACTGCCCTGAAAACAGAGAAATCAACACGGTGGTGGTTTAGTTGCTAAGTCATGTCCGACTCTTGTGATCCCATGGACTGTATAGCCTGCCAGGCTTCTCTGTCCATGGGATTCTCCAGGCAAGAATACTGGAGTGGGTTGCCATTTCCTTTCCAGAAGATCTTCCTGACCCAGGAATTGAATCTGTGACTCCTGCATTGCAGACAGATTCTTTACCAACTGAGCTATGAGGGAAGCCCAGAAATCAATATATGTGATTCTAAAAAAACAAACAAAAACACAGATGAGGAGGTACCACGCAGCCTCGCGAGTGGCTCAGCCACGGGAGAAGTCTTGGTTGAGTCTCTGGGTCAGTCTCCCCACCTGGAAACTGGAAGCATGAGTTTAGTTCCTTTCCTTCTCCATCCCCTTCAACCTGGATGTTATCAAAATGGTGGTAACCACCTCACCAAGAGTTGCCTAAGACAGAGGGTCAGGAGGTCATGGAAAAGAGCAGTATCTTTTAAAGACCAGCAAGTGGGGAAAGGTTTTATCACTCCAGAACTATGTTAAACTTCTTTTGTAAGTTGAAATGCGACTGATTCAGATTGAACATCCCATCTCCATCAGGGAGTTTCTCTGTCTCCCCTGTAGTCTCTGAGCAATCTCTCTTGTCTCCTTTCTAGAGATGGGTCACCTGAGGTTCTGAGTGGACAGGACAACTGTCTGGGATCAGTTAGGAGCATCATGACCTTGGAAATGGCTTAGGCCTCCGGAGCCTCAGTTTCCCCATTAACAATTCTGACTTTACATAGGCTGTTGGGAGGTTTGATGAGAGGATGCATGAAAGGGGCTTGGTGCAGCATCTACCCTGAGAAGGAGCCCCACAAATTGTAGCAACCAGATTTATCATTAATTCTCAGCAGTGCTCATGCACCCCGTTGTTTTGTAAGATGCCCAAAGGAAAATCTAAAAGAAGAGTGGGTTGGGGTATGTGGGCTTTGAAGGCTGAATAGGAGTTCGTTTGGTGCAGCTGGAGCTGGAGGAACAGTGCACCTGGTGGAGGGAGCAGCTTGAGCAATGTCTCCATATCAGAGTTGGGATCTGCCTTTACCTCTCATGAGGGACTTGCCGGGAGTCCCAGGAGGTGCTCAGACTTACCCCCTCTTCCAGGAACTGCAGATGAAGCGCACAGCCATCGAAGCCTTCAATGAGACCATCAAGATCTTTGAAGAGCAGGGCCAGACGCAGGAGAAGTGCAGCAAGGAATATCTGGAGCGCTTCCGACGTGAGGGCAATGAGAAAGAAATGCAGAGGTGAGTCCAGTTCCTCTTCTCTGCCCTACTGCACCCTGATCCAACACAGCACAAGTGGGGAAAGAAAGGAAACAGAGTGGGCAGCCTGGGTTCCGGGTGGGGAGAGAGGGTCAGTTGAAATGGACTGTGAAGGATGGATAGGAGTTTGCCAGAAAGCGAACTCAGGGGAGCAGCCTGCCTGAGGCCTCGAGGCTGGAGCCAGTCTGAGGCCTCCGAGCCACTTCTCCCTCAGGATCCTGCTAAACTCCGAGCGGCTCAAGTCCCGCATTGCCGAGATCCACGAGAGCCGCACAAAGCTGGAGCAGGAGCTGCGGGCACAGGCCTCCGACAACCGGGAGATCGACAAGCGCATGAACAGCCTCAAGCCGGACCTCATGCAGCTGCGCAAGATCCGAGACCAGTACCTGGTGTGAGTGCCTGGCTCTGCGCTTGCCTGTGGGCCCCCCCTCCCCGCCCTGTTAATGCAGGCGCGTCTGGAGCCGTGACCTTTGCATGTGTCTCACTCCACTTTCTCCTCCAGGTAGTCCCACCTATCTCCCTACCCCCTCATCTGTCCACCAGCCCCCTTCCCTCTCGACCCAGCCCCTCCTGGCCCGCTCAGAAGGGCTCTTGGACTTCCCTGGTGATTCAGTGGTTAAGACTCTGTGCCTCCATGGCAGGGGGCACGGGTTTGATCCCTGGTCGAGGAACTAAGCCTGGTGCTGCCAAAAAAAGGGCTCCCTGAACAGCAGCTTCATTCAGCCTCAGCTGTGGGACGGGAGCACTGCTGTTACACGGCTGAGTCACTGGGAGCCCCCGCCAGGATCCACTCCATGAATGCCAACTCCGTGACCCGGCATGCAGTGCCCAACCTGAGCCCAAGGTCCCGCTTCTGCCTGCTGACCTATGGAGGCTTCCCCTTCCCACCTGGGCCTCTGACGCTTACGTGCACCTTGTGTGTGCTGAGCACCGTGCATGCATGAGCTCACTTGGTCATCTGAAATACCGTCCGTTCCCTTTTGCAGGTGGGGGAAACAGGTTCAGAACAGACAGCTGCCGTGTGCAAAGGCACACTAGTGTGCAGCCCTCTGGACTGAGCCTGCGATGCTGATAACACCTTGTACCTGGCACAGTCTAGGGTCTCAAAAAGTGTGAACAGAAACATACATGGTTGGAGTGGTTCCCTGGGAGAGCCTGGGCAGTCCACCAGAGTTGAAGCTGTCCTTGCCCGGGCCGAGTCTGACCCCTTGTGGCAGCCAGGGGTACTGCACCCAGAACATCCTCGGGTCAGCCCTTGCCTCCAGCCTGGCTGCCCAGGACCACGGAGCGCTTGCCTTTCCTATGCTGCAGCGGCTGTTCCCCTCCCAGCCAAGCAGCAGGAGCCCACCTTTCCGCTTCCCTCCAGGTGGCTCACTCAGAAAGGGGCCCGGCAGAAGAAAATCAACGAATGGCTGGGGATCAAGAACGAGACTGAGGAGTGAGTGACCGCTTCGGGCGGGGGGTGGAGGGGTGTTCTTAGGGGAGGGGCCGTTTTGTGTGGGTTTTGCAGGGTGAATAGGAGTTCACCAGAGAGGGAGCGTTGTCCAGGTGACGGAGGCCTTGGAGGGTGGTGAGTAAGTGACCAGGGCTCCTCCCTGCCTCCCCCACAGCCAGTACTCACTGATGGAGGATGAGGATGACCTCCCCCACCACGAGGAACGCACGTGGTATGTAGGCAAGATCAACCGCACCCAAGCTGAGGAAATGCTGAGTGGCAAGCGGGACGGTACCTTCCTCATCCGCGAGAGCAGCCAGCGGGGTTGCTACGCCTGTTCTGTGGTGTGAGTGCCTGGCCAGGGAACCGAGAATGGCTGAGTGTTGGGAGGGGGATCTACCCATTCCTTCTGAGGGCTCTCATTGAGCACCACCTGTATGTTCCGCCTTGGGAGACAGCCAGGGAGAAGCCCTGGGTTCTCGGGGACAGGGGAGGAAGCTGGGGCCGGATCAAAGCAGGAGATGGCAAGGCCGGGGCCAGGTCGGCAGCCAGCACCCAGGAGGTGGGGAAGTAGGGGCCCCAGGCGGGGTCCCCTGAGAGGAGCCTGGGGCGAAGTCGGGAAAGCCTTCGAGGGCGGGAGCCCTTCTGACCCAGCCTGTGGCCCGGCCCCGCAGGGTGGACGGCGATACGAAGCACTGCGTCATCTACCGCACGGCCACGGGCTTCGGCTTCGCGGAGCCCTACAACCTGTACGGGTCCCTGAAGGAGCTGGTGCTGCACTACCAGCACGCCTCCCTGGTGCAGCACAACGACGCGCTGACCGTCACGCTCGCCCATCCCGTGCGCGCCCCCGGCCCTGGGCCGCCGCCCGCGGCGCGCTGAGCGCGGAGCCGCGCCCCAGCGCCCGGCTGGAGGCTGGGCTGCCACCGCGTCCGAGTCTGTCCGATCCGGCTCTCTCCTTTGTGAATCTCTCCAGGTGTATCTGTTTCTTTCTCTCTGCAGTGCTGTCTCTGTCTTCCTCTGGGTCTGCCTCTCTCTCCGTCTTTCTGTCCCCCCCGTCACTCTGTCTCTTTCTAGCTCCTTCTGTCCGTCCTCGCTCTCTCTCTCCCTCCCCGTCTCTGTGTATCTGTGTTGGGGGTCCCGCCTCCCCACCTCCACACGCCCTGCCCCACAATCACTGCCCTCCAACGGCTCTGGCACCCACAGCCTTGTGCCCTGACCCCCGCAGGCCTCCGGGGGTCCCCAGAGCCCCAGCTGGCTGCACCTGCCGTGTTTACAGAGGCCCCTGGGCTGCGAGGCCCCCGCCAGGTGCCCCGATTTTTAAGCCATAGACCTGGGGTCAGGGCAGGAAGGAACTTCGCTTGGCCACTTCCAAGAACCTCAGCCGTGACGTCTGGGGCCAGGCGGGACCTGCCCCATAGACCCCAACTTCCCCTTCAAACCCTGAAGTGAAACCCGGCCCCGGGTTGTCCCCACCATGGGGCTGCTGCCAAGAAGTACCCCTGAAAAAGAAAGTAATTAAAAATAAACTCACAGGCTGACCCCAGGCCTCCCAGGAACTGAGGCCACCAGCACCTCTGGGGCAGCCAGCACATAACGCTGCCCACAGCACCCTAGTCAACGCAGACTCAAGGCTTCTTCTCCCATCATGTTGGGCTCTGATTTTATTTTTCCTTAAGTATACCTAAAGCCCTCTTTTCTCTCCTGTTTTGAGACGAGAGCCCTGATTTTCTATGCCACCCATGGACCCCACCCCCCTTTTCCTGCCTGTCTGGCTACGCTGGCAGGCGGGTTTTGTATGGTACGTTGATACTGATACGGATATAAAACATTGAACTCGATGGATGCTTCTGTTTTCAGTGACAGGCTTCTTTAGCTCTGGGCTGCCAAATAAAGGCTGCCAACCCCTGCCTCCTCCCCCACCTCCCTCCCCATCGCAGTCTAGATTGCTCACGTCCAGAGAAATTTAGAGACCTGCCTGATGTCACCCAGCAGAGAGGCTCAGAGCCCAACCTCTGCTGCGGGGACCCCAGACCATAGCTCCCAGGTTTGATGTTGACTTCCGACGCTCAGCCACCATCCCTGGCCCCAGAAAATCGCCGCTCCTCTAATGTGCAGCTTCCTCACAGCCAGGCAGAAAAGACTGTCATACCCCCTCCCATGCCACCCAGAGGGGTCTCCCGTGTCCTGGATCCCCCGTGTCAGCCCCTCTGCTGTTCTTCCACTGACCCCCTCTCTCCACACCTGCCCGGTGAAGCCTGCCGTGGCTCTAGAGACACGGAGCTGGGTCCTCATGGTGTCACTGACCAGGACTCTTATTCACCATTCCCTGCCGCCCTCCCCAGGGTCCCTGTCTCTCAACCCTCCCCTCACACACCCCCAGGGCTGGAACCTCCTCTCCTCCCCAGTCCACCACACCTGTCAGGACCCAAGCGGCTAAGACAGCCCCCAGGGGATGAAGGAGGCGCTATCTGGTCCATCTCCCCTGGGCGCTTAGAGGGACAGGGGTTCCCTTCCTTGGCCTCAAAGCTGCGGCCCTCCCCAAGCACTGACCCCACCTGAGTGACTGACCCTCTAAATAACTCCAGCCCAGACTCTGCCCCCACTGAGGTCTTCACCCACGGTGCGAGTGGAAGCAGGGTAAAGCTCACCTTCTCAGTCCCGTGAGCCCCGCCGGGTGGAGCCTGAGCACAGAAGAGAACGTCCCACATAGCCTCTAGCTGGTCTCCACACTCAACTGTGTCTCCTTGGGAACACCACCTCCCGTCTCCAGTCCCATTTTCTCTTACCAAGTAGGGCCAACAGTCTCTACTGCTGCCGCCACTGGGCATCTCAGGATTTCATGGTCAAATGGGTGAGGTTACCTTTAGGAATTCCTCCAAATACGGCTGGTGCTTAATACCCACCGGAAAAATTGTAGCAATTATATTTATTGCTATTTTTTCAGCCCAGTACAGGACGGAGTACAGACTAAGTTCCCCAAAGCCGCGTGGCTTAGCCTTGCAGAGGTTTCACAAAGGAAAGGGGTTCTGTGAAGGGTTCAAAAGAATGAGGGGGGATCGTCCAGCTATGGGGACTTCAGGGGAATCCCAGCTCCGGAACCTGCTGCTATTTGAATGTGGCCATGTGGACTGGGGTTTCCCCAGAACTGGAGGGGGACATGGGCTGTAGAGCTGGGGCTGGGCTGATTTCCAGGTAAGAGTGGGGAGCGTTCCCTCCCGTGGGGCCCAAATCTTTGCCTTGCGAAGTCTGAATGTGTCAGTTACTTCCCCAACACTCCCACCCTCCAAGCCTTTATCTGGGTTATTCTCTCTGCCCGCTCTAGCTGTCCTGCGAACACCTTCCACCCTGCCCCCAGCCTGGGGCAATGCTCCCTCTGTTCTGAGCCATTCATAATAGCTTTAGTCCCTAAACCTCACTTCTACTTTATAGAAGAAGAAGTTGGGGCTTCATCACCTGAGGTGTCCAGCACACCTGGAGCAAACCTGGGTCTGCCTGATTCCCCTGGATTTGGGTTCTACAGGGCTAGTCCCGCATCCCATGTATATTGTACAGGTTTCAGATAATGACTGCTCCAACCCAGGCTTCTCTTCTACCAAAGAAGCTGGCAGAGGGCAGGGGTGCACCCCTCCTCAAGCCCGGGAGAGCAGCAAGAAGGAACACCAGCTTTCTCTTCCCGCCCCCCAGCCAGGGATGGGGGTGCCCCTCCCTGCACTGGCTTCTGCTTTCTGGCCCTGCTGTGGTCAAGCCTGAGTCAGCTCCACGGGACGCTGTCAGGGTTGGGGAGCCTGAGAAGGGAAAGGGTGAAGCTTGGGAATGAGAGGGGCCTGGCTGCCCACGGCGGGGCAAAGGGTCACCTCCCATGGGAACACAGGGTAGGGAGGTCGGAGCGTCGGGTCCAGCGGGTGGGGGCGGGGCGGGACTGCTCTAACGGCCCTCAGAGGGCTCCGTGGGCGCATAGAGACCTCCTATCTCTCGATCTCTCTGTTTCTGTCTCTAAGCCCCGACCTCACCTCTGCTCAAAGTGCTCAGCCTCAGCTTCACAGGACTGGGCCGGGCTGATTGCGGGGAAGGGCTGGGGGAGACGGAAGGGCAGCGCGTTGTTCAGGTGACTGGGGGCCCAACACCTGGCGACCGCCTGGGGGCCGGGCCACCGCCGAGTTAAAGGCGGCTTCTTCCCGGGGCCACTGCTCCCCGCCGTCGCGCCTTCGCCGCCGCTGTGATGGCCTCGTCGCCTCTCCTGCTGCTGCCGCTCCTGCTGCTGCTGCTGCCGCCGGAGGTCCCCGCCGCAACGCGGTGGTCCTCGCTGGAAGCTCTCCCCGAGGGGGCGGCCCCCTGCCAGGTAGCGTCTGCGGCGCAGCGGGCGGGCCAGTGGGGACCCGCTCCCCGGGCGGGGGCCGGCCGCTCCTCTCCTCCCACCGCCCTCCACTTCGACGGGGACCACCGGGGTCCGGAAAGGATGCTACCCGGGGGCAGGGGGTGGCGACCCCCTCCCCAACCCCACCCTTCAATCCTGCATTTTGGCCATACTTTCTTTTCCCTTTCGCTTTCCTATCTGGAGTCCGAGTCCCTCAGCTGTCCCCCACCCCATCCTCCCGCAACCCCCTCCTCCCCCCACGATGCACTGAGCACCAACTGTGTACATCTGGAGCGAGAATCAGAGTCTCCTCTTTTAGGCCAGGGGAAGGAAGCCCAGACCAGCTGAGCTGCCGGCCGCTGGCCACGGGCACTCATCGAGGGTGCGTTTCGTTCCGGGAAGAGCGCGCGTTTTTCTGGTCCGGAGTAAGCAGATGCCCCGGAGGCTAAACCACTTGCTCACAGACTCGAGCGCCCGCCACCCCTCAGCTGGAGACGGAAGTCAGCACCTATTAGGCGCCGCCTCCGCGGTAGCCTTGGGAGGAGTTCAAGGGACTGGTGGATAGGAAGAGTAAATAAGGAGTCAGTGCGGGGTGCGGCCTTGCTCAGCCCGAGGCCGCGGCTCGAGGGGATGAAGGGGCCACAGAGCAGCACGCAGGGGTGATGCGCACCGCCGGAAGGCAGGGCTGGCCGCGGAGACCCAGATGGGTGAAGGCCAGGAATTCTTCCACCCTGTCGCCCCCTGGGTGAGAAGTTTCACTTCTCCTGGAGGAAAGCAAACCTTGTGCCTCCATTAACTGCCTACTGTTTGCAAATCTGTGTCACATCAATCTTGCAATCTGATCTTTAGGAAGATTTAGGCTTTGGGTGAAGCCTCAGCATCAGACTCCCACCTGACAAGGAGGGGAAGGAGTGTGAGATGGAGCACCTGCTGTCTGCAGCTTCCTTCCTGCGAGAGTTTAACTTGACTCACACCCCTTCCTCCCGTGCAGGTCGGTGAGCTGTGCCTGCAGGCATCGCCCCAGAAGCCTAAAGTTCCCCTGGTCAACGTGAGCCTCTACTATGAGGCGCTGTGCCCTGGCTGCCGGATGTTCCTGATGCGAGAGCTCTTCCCGACGTGGCTGATGGTGTGGGAAATCCTCAACATCACCTTGGTGCCCTATGGGAACGCTCAGGTGCCTGGGGACCGGGGAAACGGAGTTACGTGGCCACGGGAAGGAGGTCTGGGGGAGGGGGCAGCCAACACTCACCTCGTTGCTTTTCAGGAAAGAAACGTCAGTGGCAAGTGGGAGTTCTCATGCCAGCATGGTGAGCGGGAGTGCAAGCTTAACAAAGTGGAGGTGAGCAGCTCCCCTCTCTCCCAGTTCCCAAGGGAGGGGCACAGAGGCTGGGGCCACTGCCCTGATAGATCGTGACTCAGAAGGGATTGCAAACAGCTCTGCGCCTTGCCTGTGAGCCTCCTTTTAATCATGTCTTTGTTCTCCACTTGATTGGTGGACACCTCGTGGTTATTCCTGGGGTGGTCGTTGGGGTGGAGGGTGCTCTGAGCCACTCACATCCTTGCCTGCCTGCCCCCACCCCCAGGCCTGCCTGCTGGACCAGCTGGAGCCGAAAACAGCCTTCCTGACCATTGTCTGCCTAGAGGAAATGACTGACATGGAGCAAAATCTGAAGCCAGTGAGTAACACCCCTCATTCAGCCTGGGTTGGGGGCCCTTGGCCTCCCTGCATCCAGACAGACCCAGGCTCGAGTCCTGGCCCTGGCTGCCACTCTCTGTGCAGTCCCAGGAATACAGTGTCCTTTCTCAAAGATTCAGTCTCTGAATGGAGAGAACCAAGATCTTCTGTGGGCCTGCCTGGTAAATCAGGGAGGGCTTCCTGGACGAGGTGCCTCTGAGCTGGGCTTGGTTGAACAGGAATATTCAGGGACACAGACAGTGATCCTTCTGTGGGGTATGGAGAGGACACACCTGGCCCATCTCCCTCCCTGGAGGATTATGAAAAATAACTCCCCAAAAGGTGACTCATCTGCCCTGATTGTTTATTTATTCATCAAGCATCTGGGCCACCCAAGAGACCTGAAGCCTCCCTGAGACACCTCCAAGCCCTGCAGAGTCATAGTGTGGCTGGGGGGTGTGCAAAGGAGGAGGGAACACTCAGGAGACTCAGAGGAAGGAGGAGGAAAAGTGTTCCCGGCAGAGGGAACAGCAAGTACGGATGCTCTGGGGAAAATAAGACCCTGCAGAGCTGGAGCTGCAGGTCTGGTCTTATGGGAGACAGCCTGAGCAGAAGCAGCCCAAGTCCCTGCCCCGGGGGCCTCCACTCAGACATGTATTAAGCACTTGCTGCATCCCTGGAAACCAGACTGTCTCCTGTTGTCAGTGAGGAAGCAGAAACTGGGCTTGGGGGAGTGGGGGTTGCTAGAAGGGTGACTGTTGGGGAGATAACAGGGAGGAAGCTGAGGCAATGCCCCTGCTGACCAGCTCCCACTTGCTGTCAGTGCCTGCAGATCTATGCGCCAAAGGTGTCCCCGGATTCCATCATGGAGTGTGCTCTAGGGGACCGTGGCACGCAGCTCTTGCACAAATATGCTCAGCTCACGGATGCTTTGCGGCCACCCCACACATATGTGCCCTGGGTCGTCGTCAATGGGGTAAGAACTCCTGGGGCCCCCAGGCAGGAACCAGGCTGATGGGCGTGTACATTGACCTGGGAGGCAGGCGGCAAGGGCCAGAATGGGGGCCAATGGAACTGTTAACCCCGTGTCTTGCTTGTTCAGGAACACATGAAAGAAGATGAGCATCTCCTACCCCTTGTCTGCCGCTTGTACCAGGTAAGCTAGGCAGGGAATGGAGGGATCTGGCTGGCAGGGGTAGGGTAGGGTCTCCTTTCAGGACCCTAACTCACGGCCACCTTCTCCAGGGCCAGAAGCCAGATGTCTGCCAACCCACAGCTGACCTGTCCAAGCAAGTCCACTTCAAGTGACTGACAGCCGGTGTCCTGGGAGGGATCTGGTGCAAGAAGAACGAAATCACACCTGTCCTTGTTTTTTGATCCCTGACTCAGCAAAGCCACTACTTCTACCTATTCTCAAAATTCTGCCCCAGGATCAAGAATCTTGCCTAAAAAAAAAAAAAAAAAAAAAAAAGAGTATACTGAGTATACTAAATTTTCTTTAAACCCAAAGAATAAAACTAATAAGCTAATCATGCCTCACTGTGAATGGTGCTACATCAAAACTCACTTAATAAACACTTCTGGATTTTGTGATTCAGCAAATCTCCTTTTTTCAGATCTGCGCAATGCTGGGACCCCTGAGAACCTCCCTGTCCCGGGGATGAGGAGCCAGACAGATAACCCTAGTCCCATGGGGGCAGGGATGGGCCAGAGAGGGAGGCACCAGTACTGGAGGAGCCCAGAGGAGAAGTGAAGGTTCTTCATAGGAAGGAGGGACATTAGGGCTGGGGTTTTGAAGGGTGACTAGGAGTTCATTAGGCAGAAACTATATCTGTTACATCAACACACATCCCTAGCTACTCTTTTTCGCCGCCCCACACTAGGTGTTATGGGTTAAGCCAGAAGGTGGTAACTGGAGTCATGCAAGGCCGCAGGTGGGGCAGTGAGCTTGTCTGGGGAGTTTGAAAGAATATGTTCACTGGGGAGAAGTCATGGAGCTCCAGGAAAGGGGAACAAGTGTGAAAAGACCCAGACAGCAACAAGATCTGGAGTTAGAGTCCCAGGCTGAGGCATCTAAGAACAACAGGGCTTGTTATAGGAAAAGTTTCAAAGAAGGGGAAAAAGTCATGGCTCTCATGCTGGTGTAAAATGAATACATGTTAAAGATTTTATTTATTTCATGATTTATGAGGGGCAACTGGTCAGATATTCAAAGAACAAACAGGTTTATAGATCAGGAATATTGAAATGATTGGGCAAACCTGACTCACAGGGGCAGAGAAATGATCAGCTTTCCCTTTTTTTGCAGCCAGTTTTATGATGTTTTTATAATTTTAATACAGTTGACCCTTGAACAACACAGGATTGAACTGCATGGGTTCACTTCTACACAGATTTTATAAAATAATTTTATTTATTTTTGGTTTAGCTGGATCTTCGTTGCTGCATGCAGGCTTTCTCTAGTTGCGGCCAGCTGGGGTCTACTCTTCACTGCAGTACATGGGTCTCTCATTGCAGTGGCTTCTCCTGTTGCCACGCACAGGCTTGAAGGCGTTTGGGCTTCATTACAGCTCACAGACTCGAGAGCACAGGCTTGTCGCTGTGGCGCACGGGCTTAGCTGCTGCTCAGCATGTGGGATCTTATAGACCAGAGATAGAACCGGTGTCCATACATTGCAAGGCAGACTCTTAACCGCCAGACCACCAGGGAAACACCCTACACAGATTATTCCCCCCAATAAATATAGTCCTACATGATCTGCTTCCTCTTCCAACAACACAAGAGAAGACTCTACACGTAGACATCACCAGATGGTCAACATTGAAATCAGACTGATTATATTCTTTGCAGCCAAAGATGAAGAAGCTCTATACAGTCAGGAAAAACAAGACCAGGAGCTGACTGTGGCTCAGATCATGAACCCCTTATTGCCAAATTCAGACAAATTGAAGGAAGTAAGGAAAACCACTAGACCACTCAAGTATGACCTAAATCAAATCCCTTATGACTATACAGTGGAAGTGAGAAATAGATTTAAGGGACTAGATCTGATAGAGTGCCTGAAGAACTATGGATGGAGGTTCGTGACATTTTACAGGAGACAGGGATCAAGACCATCCCTGTAGAAAAGAAATGCAAAAAGGCAAAATGGTTGTCTGAGGAGGCCTTACGAATAGCTATGAAAAGAGGAGAAGCAAAAAGCAAAGGAGAAAGGGAAAGATATTCCCATGTGAATGCAGAGTTCCAAAGAATAGCCAGGGGAGATAAGAAAGCCTTCCTCAGCAATCAATGCAAAGAAATAGAGGAAAACAAAAGAATGGGAAAAACTAGAGATCTCTTAATAAAATTAGAGATACCAAGGGAACATTTCATGCAAAGATGGGCTCGATAAAGGACAGAAATGGTATGGACCTAACAGAAGCAGAAGATATTAAGGAAAGGTGGC